CTCCTTGGCTCCTTCTTACTGCTGTCTTTCAGCCACACCCCTGATCTTAGGGTAGGTAAGATCTAGCACCTAGCCGTCACGGATAAGGGCAAAAAATCTCGGAGGTCTCTTGTGCAAGTTGTGCACAATATAGATCCCTTGGTGGTCCAAAATCGATAAGAGCAGGCTTTGGCCATCATCCCCAGCAAAAAACCTACCAAACTGAATACGCTTAATGTGTCCACGCACTCATATGACCTTATGCAGCTGTCTTACGCAGTTGCAAGCACCGCAAAACACTTATCAAAACAAAAAATGAACAGCCCCTACACTCCACCCAATCGAATGACACAGCCAGGACAAATTTTAGACATCCAAACTTGATGGAACAACATTTTAAATTACTTTAAACTGCTATTGATAACCTCAAGTGAGAAACCTTTGAATGAACACAGAAACCGTTGAAATATATATCCCATTATTGGTATTATCTTAAAACCTTTTCATTTGCCTTTCTCTTGGGGAAAAAAAAAATCCATCTAAGTTGAAAAGAAGTCAAAATATTCGCAGTTTAAGGAAGTCAGGGTCGCCTGGCTTCAGAGGTGAAATTAGGGAGAAAATGGCCTCCAAAGTTTCGTAATTTCCATAGCTTGAGAGTCCTTGGAAACTGAAAATTCACATTTTTTGCGCCTTTAATCCATGTTTTCAGTAAAATCCACACAGAAATGTGTTAAAAAATGGATATAAAAAGTGTTGAGTCAAAAAAAGAAATTTAGATAAAATATTGCCCAACATTCAGAAAAATGCCAGTTTCTTCTATTTCACTCTATTTTGATGAGCGCCTGATTTCACCACGATGCCTCACAATGTCAAGTCCCGTTCAAGTCCAATAGACCAATACTGGTGATGATGAAAATAATTCCTGACATGTTTGCTCTTTACAACAAAGCTCAAAACATTTTACAAAACAAAGATAGATTCTGAAATAATGACATGAACATGATTAAGAGCGTCGAAAAGCAACATGCGCAGAATTTTCACGATGCTCCTTATCACTTACATAATTTCTTTCACATTCAAATAACTATATGAACTCATTGATATGAATCTATAAAAATAGCAGCAAAAATCCTTTCACTTGAAAAAATTTGTACATCACACTGAAAAAGAACAAAAATATTTTAAAATACAGCTCACAGCACTTAATTAATTTAGCAAAGTCTGATCAAAGGACAGTAAGAACCAGCTTACAATAGTTTTTCAGGGATGCCAAATGATTTTTGAAAAAACCCCCTGAAAATGAGCGGAGCATCATATTTCACCGAAACCGAACCTTGTAAAGCTTTTAAATGAGCAAACAAAAACATATTCTTTCTGACCTCTCCCCTTTCCTTTGCAGGTGAAAAAAACCAGAATAAAACGGAAAAACCGGACATTTGGCACCCCTGGATTTTGTAGTCAAAGTAATCACAGTCCACATATCATTTTAAATATCACACCATATCTATCAGAACAGCAAATAGCCTGACTTACCAACCATGAAAACTTAAAATGAATATTTTGCAGCAAAATGCAACAGATCCATTTTTTTCGTTTTTGAGAAAATTGAAAATTTCTATTCTTTGCCCATTTACAGAACAATTTTGAGCAACTTTGTTTTTAGAGTAAACCTGATGTAAGGCTTAGTTGATATTTGTTGCATAGTGAAATCTATATTGGATTCTAATCCTTTATATTAAAGAGATCTCCAAACATTTTTGACAAAATGCGACATATCCACGTTACAATATTCAGGAAAGGATAGAAACGCCAACAAACTTTAATCAACCACAAGCAGAGTAACGTATGTGACTGAAGGAAAGAGCTTGATTGGCGCACAAAGAATATGTTGTAGTTTTGTCAAAAAAGATTTACCTCTTTGGTCGGTTTTGTTTTTAAAAAAGTGTCGCTTATTGCTGTTCTTTAATGAATAAAAATCATGTTTTATGACCAAAAAATTTCACTCTGGAATGTGCCACACCCTTTTCGATATGACAGTATTAGTTTCAGCCTACCGTCTACAATGGCATTTGATGCATTTTGTCATCAAACTGTAAAAATGTTAAAATGAATATGTGCATCTGCACAAAATATAAAATTCTCTGCTTGCATCACAGGAAATTATATATTGTAAATCGGCTGACTATCAGAATAAGGCTCCACTTAAAACTGCAATGATATTGTCCTTCACTATTTGAATCTTTCAGAGGGGCAGTAAGACTACAGAGATATAAATATCTATTTTTTAAATTGAGAAACCATTAATAAAACATACATCCTTGAGGTTGCAGCTGGAATAATTTGGAACAAAATGTGATCAAAATATTGAAAAGGCAAACAAAAAAAAAGGACGAAGAGGAAGACCAATGATAATATATATATCCAGATAACGCAAAAAGTCATGGACAGACTCAACCATAGAGGCTAAAAAGATTGCAGTTTCGCTTGACGCCACTTTCAACCTTTCAACAGACTGGTCATACGCATGTTAACAATGTCAGGAGGTAAAAGGACTGAGCCAATTTCAGAGACCATATAAAAATTTCCTTTAAAAATTCAAAAGTTTCTTCTGGAGATCAAACCCGAGACCCCACAAATAATGAACTACTTAAGATTATTAACACTTACAGTATGTCACCAGGCCATAGTATGCGCTGTCAACCGCTGGTGACTTAAGTAGCTGACGCAACCAGGTGCACTAAACATAATTAAACAAAGAATGAACACACTGCGCTGGGGTAAATACCAAAGGAAGTCACTCTATATGATAGCTGATTGGTTGATGACCTGTATGAATTTTTAAAACGTGTTTCTTGGGCTGCTAAGGTTTTTTGTAATTAAAAAAAATTCTACCACAGCTTCAGCATTCTAAACTGGAGCGGTACTTGAGGGTTTTTCACTAAATGAGCCTGCGGTACTGTAAGTGTTAACTATCAATATCATAGGGTAACTTGCTGACCTAACCTCCCTCCGGGAAAAGGAGAAGAAATCCACAAAACTGGTACCGTGGCAGTCACAACACAATATTTGTGTCACGACGTGGTGGAATCAGGCGCTCGTCAATGTTTGGGTATGTGGAGTCATTGGTATCATCTGAAAGTTGATTTATTTGCCTTGCTTCCAATGAAATAAATGTCCATTTATCTTGGATAGAATTCAAGATATTTGCGATTGAAGGAAGGGAGGTCGCCTGGTTTCAGTGGTGAAATTAGCAAGAAAATGGCAGCCAAAGTTGGGCCACTCCAATAGCAAAAGAGTCTTTGAAAACTGAAAAATGACATATTTTGCGATTTAATCAACGGTTTTCAGGAAAATTCCCATGGAAATGTGTTTTTATATGGACATAAAAGAGGGTAAGCAAAAAAATAAAAATTCGATAAAAATGCCTGTTTCTCCAATTTTGTTATTTGACAAGCGCCTGATTTCACCACGCTGCCTAACATTTGTCAGCCAGCTGTTAAAATGTCATTCGAATCCCAAAATTTTAAAAAATATTTTATTTGTAATTTCTTAATTTGTGATAGATCAGATGCATGTCAAGGAGCATCAACAGAGGAATTCTAGTTGCAGCAGGGGGGGTTACCCACCGAGTATCTTATCACATCCGCGGCACCAAGGTCAGTTCCCTGTCGCTTCTCTTTCCGGGCTGACTGAATTCTTGAGGTACTTTTGAGTACATTGAATGCAGCCATTGCATAAATTTCTGCTCCTGTGACTCAAAAAAAGAACGGACCTTGCAACTTGTCAGATTTTTTTAAAAATCTGAGAGCTCTGTTCTACTGCCACTGCAAAGGTGAATAGAGAATAAATCAGTAGCAGTGATTGGACCAACCTGTTCTGGATGGTGAGGGAGTGAACAAAGAACAGGACCAGAGAGCAATGAGGCTGTTGATAACAAAACAAAATCATATTGCGCCTCAGAGGAGCAGACATGACGATGTAGTTCTCATTAACCCTTTCATGTCACAGGGTCGGTTCGTGCTTCACTGAGCACAGTTTTGGATTCCCAGGGACACAGAGTGGCACTAGATTTAGTGGTCCGTTTCTATATATTAGATCTGGTTTGCAAATACTACCACCATGTCTAAAAGGAAAAAAATTCTTTGTACGTAAAAGATATATTCCCGACTGTGAATCGGCAATTAGTTTCATGAAATGCATCTAATAGAAGCAGTATGCAGAATACAACCTATGACGAGCGGCGTTCGTCATCATGGTCCTCGTGCCTCACAAGGCATGACGAACGCTGTACGTCACAATCGCGGCTCGTTTGTCGTATAAGAAATAAGGATGAACGGTGAGCGTCATATATATAGGTCACGAAGGGTACATGTGGTGCTAATGATACTAATAAACTAATATCTTACCATAGACATTGTATATGTTCTTTCAACACTTTAAGGTCATTTAAGAGACACTACCTCTGAATGTAATGTCTATCTCCAATAAGGCCAAGCCAAACATGTGGAGAGCTGTAACACTTTGCAGTCCCACAGCCAGCAGCACAATATACCCTATCTGGTCACCCAGCCAGGAGAGTGACTGCAACGGACTTCTCTGGCCTGGCGCAGAACGTACGGCGTCAGGTGACTGGAACGGACATTTTTCACCGTTGCATTATTGTGCCAAGTGACCGGAAAGTGTTAAAAAGTAGTCAAAACAACCCAAGCTGAGATTCAAACTAGAGTCATCTGCTCTGTAATCCAGCAGGATACCAACTGGGCTATAAGATGCACCTCACCTCTATAGAGCAGCTCACTTTTGGCCAGAATAAGAAAAAAAAATACAGTTATTTATGAGACAAAACAGCTGTTTCAGGTTAAAAAAGAAAAAGAAAGCATTGGCAAGCTTCATAGCCATATTGTCTGAGAGATGTTCAAATATATATATATTCACAAAAAACCCCACCTATTTTCAGGAGAGAGAAAAAACCCAACTGTTTCATTCTCTTAAAAATCATACTTTTACATTCTGCATTTTTCTTCTTCTTTTTTTATCAACATTTAGAATTAGAATTTCGACAAAATATTTCTTGAGCGAATGCAACTGAAACGGCAGAATAAAAAAACAGCAATGTATAACATTTCAACTTTGGGGTCGGTACATCTGAACAGCTGGCCAATGCTATTGATAAACTGTGTTAAGTCTCTTTGATTGTCCCTCTCTTCATTCAGCTTTCGTGATAAACACTTTGACTTCCACCGACGGCCATACTTGCTGTTTGAATGCGGCACAGCTTTTTCTTGGGACAGTAGCAGCATGCCCTGGATCAGGAAGAGAAATGTGTTTTGTTTGTTTTAGTAAGAGTTTTACTGCACTTGCAACAAAATAAGGTCATATAAGTGCCGAAAATTAAAGGTGTTACAAGAGAGTAACAAACACAAAAAAGAAGGAAGGGAGATAAAGACGATAGATGTTTGATAGGAAGGAAGGAGCAAACCACACCAGGAAGAAAGATAAAACAAATTTACCCACATGTTAAACAGAAATTTACAATGGTAAAACATTAGTACAAGGTTTTAACTTTTGCGCAAACTAAAAGCTAGGTCTGAAATTAATTGTCCTTTTAAAAAAAAATTAAATAACAGATTTATCCACTGAAAGTAACAACAATTATCTGATCACTTTCATCTGAAACACTCATACAAATTCTTATGGCTAAGCATGCTGTGTAAAGCAATCTCATTAATATTAAAATGAAGAAAAAACTAATTTAACATAGAGATAAAAACAGACTATGAAAGAAACCTTTAGTTGACCAACTACGAAAATATGTTAAAATGGTGTCAATAAGTTTTCAAAAAACTAAAAAGTAAAACAGCAGTTCACTTGAGAAAGACTTATACAATCAATGCTACAAACCACCAATGTGTATTCGGACGACTATTATACTCAAAATATATATATACATGCCTACAAAAATATTTTACAAAACCATACAGATCTGTTATATACAGGGCTATTCCACAGTAGCGGACGGGACATTTGGACTATTTTTTTTACAATGAAAACATTGTAATTCAATATCAATTAATTTTTTTCAGCTTTAAATTGAACATTAAAAAATATATATTAAGAATCATATTAAATGCAGTCATTTGGGAAAAAAAAGTACTTTATCCAAATTCTGTGTCGTGTCTAGTTTCAGTAACTGACGAGACGAATGAGGTATTTTTTCTATTCAGTCAATTAGCGAAACTAGACACGTCACATAATTTGCCTAATGTACTTTTTTTTTTTCAAATGACTGCATTTATATGATTTTTAATATGTGGGGCATCATGGTAAAATCAAGCGGTGGGCAAAATAATGAAATCAAAGAAATCGGCATTTTTCGGCCATTTTCGATTTTTTTTCTCGAATTTTTGTTTAATACCTTGTATGTCCAGGCAAAAACATTCTTTGGTGTAGATTTTATGGAAAAACGTTGAATAAAGGCACGAAAAATGTAAATTTGTGGTTCCCAACGACTTCTGAAGTCATGAAACTTAGGCGGCCATTTTCTCGTGAATTTTACTTCTGAAACCAGGCGACCTTACCCCTCCAATCGCAATTATCTCGACTTCTGACCAACATAAATGTCCCATCATTTAACCTGGAATGGCCCTTCACTCACCAGGTTGGACAATGGTTCATAGCAAAAGGACTGATACTGTGACCTGAGAAAAAATGAAGAGTAGAGTGAATAGACTTTTTTTTACCCCCTAGTTATTCATTTACGACATTTATCCCTAATCTCTATTCATCAATGTTACACGAAAAACATATCAGGCAGAGGTCCTTTTAACTTATCCGTTTGTTTTAATAGAGAGAAGCACATCAATACAATAAAGGTCATTTAGCGCTGGAAAAAAGTAAGACAGACAGACAGGGAAAGTAAAGAAGTAGGACCTACCAGTGGCACCTTCCAACCACTCACAAGGTCATTTTTAGGGTGGTAAAAAAAAATCAAACCAATAAAATCTTGAATACTTTGTGAACGTTTCAATGTGTCTCTGAGTGAATGACCTTAAGTCAACCACAGTTTTTAACTTTAAAGCAAATAAAAAGTGTGTTCTCAAATGAGATTGGACCCTTAAGCCTGTTTTTAAGCAAAGCTTACTGCTGAAACAAGTGCATTCCCCCCCCCCCCCCAACCCCCCCAATCTGCTATAAGGTGTACAGTGGTCTGCGCAAAGCTAAGTAAGTGCCATATGGCAAACTTCTATGGTTCTTGTTCCATTTTACAAGATCTGTAGAACAGCTAACTGGCATTTGTGGTGTAGTGGTTATGTGAATGTGGAGACTAAAAAATTCATGTGTCTAATGCATCTTGAAGTTTGGTGGCCTTACTTCCAACTCAAAGGGAAGTATAAACGTTCGATACGTGTCAATACAGTACCACTGGACTATTACCTTCATGACAACTCTGAATACAAGACTTGCAGATCCCTGAAATGAAGAAACATGAATCCAAATAAAATAAAGTAAAATAAAGATGATAAATGGCAAATATGGACAAGTGTAAATTGTCTAACAAATAGATGGCTTTATGAATGAAAAAATTCTTTTAAAAAAAAAAAAATTTTGCCAGGGTGGCGGCCGAAGCCTCCATTTTCTCTGTGGAGGCCACTGCCATCGGCATGGCACTTGACTCCGTAAAAAATTCTTCTTACAAATCTTTCCTTATCCTTTCTGACTCTGTCTCGCATCACCTCATTTACAAATTACACGCTCTTACACCCAAAAATTGTTGGGCTACAACAAAAATACACGCATAGACTGAAACTGGGAAAAATATCGTGTTCGCATGGATACCTAGCCATGTGGGCATCCGAGGAAACGAGCAGGTAGATCACCTGGCGAAAGAATCCGTATCCCTTCTGTTGGGATCAACGATGAACACTCTCCCACAGACAGACTTCAATAACAAATTAAAAAAACTACACCTTCAATCTGTGGGAGACCCATTGGAAAAAACAAACAAATAATAAACTTTACAACATTAAGCCCAAACTGGGACCGCGAAATCCTTCGGGTCTCTCCAGAAGAGATGAAGTCATTTTTACTTGATTACGCATCGGACTCACGGCCCTGACACATAAATACCTCCTTCAGGGAGATGAGAAGCCGTTCTGTGTCGGAAGCGACACAGATTATACCATTTGACCCATTTTAATTTTAACCGAATGTCTTGACTTTGGAGAGACCCGGAGGAAATATTTTAGACGGAAAAAATTGCAAGATCTGTTTTTTGTCGTTGATCCCAAGAGAATTTTGGATTTTATGAAGGCCATTGGCCTTTATGGGAAATTATAAAATGAAATAAAATTGTTCAAAATTTGTATGCTATTTAAAAAAGTTATTTTAAACTATATATTTACACCAAATATTGATATTTTAACATTTTAAAGTCTGACAGTTGACCCGAGCCCAGCCCTGCAGTGAACTGTTGCGAATGCAACCAACCTGTGTTTCATGCTCTCATATAATGACCTTATACAGCTGCGAGCCCCGTTAAAACCCATACAAAACAAACAAACAAGCCTACTCTTATTGATTTTAGATTACCAAGGGATCTTTTAAATGTGTGCAATTTGTAAAAGGGACCTCCGATATTTTTCGCCCTTGTCCGAGAAGGCTAAGTGTAGATCTTTCCTACCAGAAGATTGGGGGTATGGCAGAAAGACAGCAGTAAGGAGGAGCCAAGGAGTAGCAGTAGAAAGGCTGCAGAAATAGTCAGGAGCCCAGAGGAGGGGGCAAAAGAGGTGAGGGGCCGGGGCAGAAAAGGGAGACGAAAGCAGACGACAGAACATTGCTAGAGAGCAGGAAAAGAGGTGAAAAGAGACAATATTAGAGAATAAATTTTTTCCGTCACTACCCGGATTCGAACCCCGGACCTATGAATGAGAGGCGTACACTTTAACCTCTAAGCCACGAGAGCCCCCATGAAAAAATTAAATAGAAGTCTCAGTATACTCTTCATATTACATGCCATTCAATATTATATACCATATAATTTATAGAGTAAAATACAATAAAAGAGAGGGACGGAATGAGGAAGGGAGAGGGGAAAGGAGAGAGAGAGAGAGAGAGAGAGAGAGAGAGAGAGAGAGAGAGAGAGAGAGAGAGAGAGAGAGAGAGAGAGAGAGACAGACAGACAGACAGACAGACAGACAGACAGACAGACAGACAGACAGAGAGACTCTAACATACCTCCCATGAGGTCAAGGGGCATAAAAAAACCCTTTAAAATTATAACCCCTCCCCCCCCCAAAAAAAACCCCAACAACAAACAAACAACCCCCCAATCCCCCCCCCCAAAAAAAAACAAAAACAAAAACAACCCCAAACAAACAAAGTAAAAAACAGAGTAATGTGTAAACCGTGGTCTGCACCAACCAAGAATTGAACAAGGAACTATATCCAAACAAAATGCTTACATTTCACATTGCATTTGTTACAGATAAAATAGTCACAACGCTGGGGAGTATCAGGGATGTACACATCAGCAAAGCATTGTTTTGGCAGGTCGCTGAGAGACTGAAACACTTTATGGAGGACAATTTCGCTGCCTGGCCTCTGAAAGAAAAAAATACAGGTATCTTGTGAAGTTTTAGACAGAAGCACACTGCATATATATCGATGGGTGTTATTAATTAATCATGTGACTGAGAGAAAGATTAACTTTTTAAATATATTATGTTCTTAAACCACTGCCAAGTTGGATCTGCCAATCCTAAATAAACATCAGGATGAGTCAATATGTCCTATAAATACAGTTGAGCCTAATTTAACAGCCACATGTCCGACACAATCACCTGTATAAACAATCCCTTCCTTTTAATTATTAATATAATGACACTGTCAAAGATGTCCACCTATCTAAGACAACCATTTATCTCCTTGACAATACGTGGCCATGACAATTTAAAAAAAGTTTTAGTAGAGGTTTTACGGTCATATGAGCGCCAGAAGATTAGAGGTGTTACAAGAGAGTAACAACATAAAAAAGAAGAAGGGGAGATAAGGACGATAGATGTTTGATAGGAAAGAAGAAGCAATTTTGATTGTAGTACTAGTATGCTAGTATGTGCTAGTATGAAAGCACTGTATTGGATGGTGTCATTATAATAAAAAAACAAAACAAAAAACAAACAAACGAACGCTGGGAGGAATGGGAAGTGGTTGTTTCTACAGGTGATTGTCTCGGACAGGTGGTCGTCAGAGCAGATTCCACTGTATTTTAATTCTCTCTTTACCCAAAAGTTAAAAACAAATTGTGTTCAATGAGTTTTTGTGGGCTAAAACTACTGCAAAATTAACTGACTGTCCTGGAGAACGAAAGCGGAGTAAGTCCTTCTTTAGTTTTTCACGAACTCTATGATTACTTACAGAAACGGAAAGTAAAAAAAAGCTCAACTCCTTATCTCCGCAAAGTCGTTCAACGCGACTCGCGGTCAGAACTGCTGGGCCAGTAAGCCGCTGGCAGCAGCTAGGGCACATTCCTTTTACGTCGTCTTCAACAACAAATTACTTTCCGCCAACTGCAGAAAACAGGTCTGTTTTACCGATAGTTCTTTCAATGGATAAAAAACTATCAAAATTGGTTTATTTGCTTTGATTTAAGAACTAATTTAGTGATGTCCAGGTCACTTTTAGATTTTGTACGAAAAAAGGCCCTGGCATAGTGGGTTTATCCCCTCCGCAGATAAAGAGTTAAAATGTAGGAGTGAAAAAGAAAAAAAGGAACTGTAGGTCAAAAGTAATAATTTCACCACAGAAAATAGATGCCTATTCACTGAATAACAATGGTAGAAAAAGACATTAAAAAAATTTACAACTATCATTCTACATAAATTATAAAGAAAACAGTGTGTACAATACTGCTCATGATTTCCTTTACCATAGAATGTTGGAATATAAGTTTTGAGTCCCACTGCAAAGGACGAATTGAGTCACTTTGTCCAAGATTTCTTGCAGCCTCTTCAACATTGTACTTCTTGCTCTTGAGTAATGGTCTGAAATAAAATGCGGCAAGTTCTATGAAAAACCCAAGTCATTTCTACAGAGGACCACAGGATAAACAGTGCAACTTTTCAAAATGAAAAGCTAGGGCGGGTCATCCAAGTAGACAAGATTTTCTCTTTTGCGGTTAAAACTCTGTAAGCACTAATAGTGCTTTAATAAGAAAAGCAATTAAAAAAGGTCTGCCCTCAAAAACAAACATTTTTCATCACAAAAAACCCCCCAACCCGATTTGATAAAAAAAATGACTAACCCTAGATTCAGTCCCCAATAAAAGCTAGCTCTTAATCAAATTCCAAATGCAAAAACAGAATAGAGAGCATGAAGAAGAGAAATCATAGCAAGACGCAAGGGAGGGAGGGAGGGAGAGATAGAGAGAGAGAGAGAGAGAGAGAGAGAGAGAGAGAGAGAGAGAGAGAGAGAAAGAGAGAGAGAGAGAGAAAGAGAAAGAGAGAGAGAGAGAGAGAGAGAGAACTAAGACGACAACATCACATTTTCTCTAGATAAAAAAACTCTGCCAATACTTTCTGACATTAATGTTGATCACAACAACACAGAAGCCATGAGACCAGGGTTTCTCAAAGCTGGTTTAACTCTTTCCGGACGTAGTTTTTTTGGGGTCTAGACATATTTAACTTGAGGCTTGATTTGGCTATGCAGGTGGTGTACAAAATAACTTCATAGAAGCATAATAACCATCACTCAAACATAACATATGATATATCAAATTGAAGGAAATTGAATGAGGAATACATCCCAATATGAAACAAGGATTAATTTTGAACATAAGTATGCATTAGATGGGTTAGAAATGGCAATGGTGATTAGAAAAATAAATTTTGACGGAAAAAATTACATTCACCAAACATGTGAAAGCAAATCAGAATAGCTATCTTATCATATACAGGCCAAAAGCATAATCCATAAATTTCTGAATGCGCAGCTTTTTATTTGAAAGCAATATTCCAATTTTTGTTTGAGTTATGAAATTTATACTGAATTCGGTTACATCGTTTTGTTGATGCAAGATCGCAAGAACTAATTCACTTGTTTTTCCTCAAACTCACGTTTTGACAAAGTGAAACTTGATGTTTTTGTTTCCTAAATCCTTTCCGAGTTTTTCAATAGCAATATAGAGTTATTATAAATGATGGAACGTGTTAAAACGAAACAACACTGAGGCACCCTATCACAGCCGATATATCGGCGATACGTCCGGAAAGAGTTAAACTGTCTTCAGCTCTATTCGAACTCGAGTCTGATTAGATTTTTTATCTATTCAGACTTAAGTCCGAAAATGGGTTTTATCTATTCGGACTCGGGTCCGAAAAAAAAGTTTTATTTATTCGGACTCAGCTTCTAAGTGAGTTATGTGAGTGTAAGGAGGTTACATGATACAACAGTCGTCGGGGGATTTTACGTAAAACCAGAATTAGAACTAGAATTACATACTAGGACTGTGTAATTGTGTCAAAAGTTAAAAGACTGCACTTTGATTGCCCAATGGCAGTGTCTAAGTACACGGTAACCGACAACTCAGGGCCTTTCCACCACCACTATAGCATCATCATTACTTCCATCACCATTTGTCTTTTCACATGTTTAATTTCATTTTGTTGAGTGTGTTATATAGTTTTTCTGTAATAATTTTTAAAAAATCACATCGCAATCTCATTGGTCGACATAATTAACTTTGCCCCCAGTAAGGTCAACTTAGCTTGGTTGTTCTGTTCACTGTTTAAACTAATTATGCAGGAAGGGCCAGTTTAGATAGATCTAGTAACTGGATAATATTATTAAAGCTCATGTTTCAAGTGTTATCATTATAATCGAAAAAAATTTCATAAATGCTAGAAATATTTAGAAACGAGGGTTGTAAGTCGGAACGGACGCCATACTGGACTCGATTCAGAGTCCGAATATAATTATTGTCTCGAGTCCGAATAGTTACTTTGTTAAACTGTCATGAGTACGATTCTTCCAGGAAGCCAGCAACTCCATAATAAGTGGTGACCAATTGGCAAGATTGTATCGGTTTGGTTTAATTTGTTTGTTGGGGCTTGCCAGATTTTCCTCCATGGAGAGGCAAAAAACTATCATCATGGCAAAAACCGCCAGAAACTGAACAGAACTGAACCGAACCAGGCAAACGATCCTCCAATAGACACTGCTTACAACAAAGAAAGCATTGGATTGGATTGGAACCCATAGGGTAAGAGATCAAGGGGAAGGCCACATGGAGCCTATAGAGAAGACTCACAGAAAAAGATGTGCAGAAAAATGGGAAGACATGGAATAATATCAAAAGGCTAGCCCAGGAACGGGAAAAGCGGAAAGTGTTGGTTCGTGGTTCATGGTGACAGTTTTTATAGAGGCTTCATTTTTCTAAAAAAGAGGTCTAAACAAGAGGTCCAAGGTTCACTGCTTTATTGTAAAACTAGAGCCGTAACCTCTGGACTGCTAAAGACATCCCATGTGCTAAACAAATTTCCAAGGTGGCTGTGTATGACACGGTCTGCTTCTTTGAATGGCTAAAGCTCGCTTAATATAAGCAAGAGATATAGCAAAATAATAGTAATAATAATAAATAGCATTTGTATAGCGCATACCCCCCCTCAACAGCAAGCTCTATACGCTTAACACTATATTATTACCTAAGACCACCATAGAACACTCAGAAACATTCTCAGCTACCCAGGAAACATACAGAGCAAGCAGCTGATTGAGCCCTCAAACACTAACAAACAGACAAGATCTTTTGCGTCTATATAGCTGGGTACCCATTCCCACCTGGGTGAAGTGAGGAAAATTTTTGTAAAGTGCCTTTCCAAAGGAAACAACGTCTGGTCCCTGACGACATTCAAACCCACAACCTTTCGGCTGCGAGTCTGAGAGCCTACCACTAGAAATGAACATACAATCCATTGGTGTTTAATCATTTTCAGGTATATCTATTCTGCATGCAAGAACTGCTGAGAGGCAGACTGACTTCGTTGTTCATACGCAACACACTACATACCACGTCTCTTTGTTTTAGCTACCACATGTGAATCTCAAGACTAGCAGCCTAAAAATAGACATGGCGCATCGGCAAGTGGATAGAGAATATGGGAATGTAACTCTCATTATTTCAAACTGTGTAGAAGCAAAGATAAGCACGAAATAAACGAGGGTTTTTCAGGGCGTACCAGGTACATCGACAAACGCCGACAGCACACACAGGAGTGAATTATGAGGGCGTATCAGGTATGCCCACAGAGCAGGCAAGGGGTTCAGTACTTTACAGTAACATGCACTGCTATCAGTGTCAGTGAAGAAGAAGGACAATGCAGAAGTTTACCCAAACAGCAGTTTTATTCCACCATTGTCAGTCCAGCACTGGATGTCATTCGCCCTTTGTCTCATGTGGGCCTCAATGATTGGTTTGATCACAGAAAGACTGCAGACAGAAAAAAAATGTTCTTTTACCGGGTATACGAGTAAATAAATATACAGCAGAAAGACTGCAGGGACCAAAAAAAAGGGATTTTCCAAAGAATAAATTAATGTACGCCTGTAAATACCAAATACACTGTTGCAAAAAATGAGTTAACAAAAAATGAGTGGTGGTTTAAATGAGTTTATAAGATCAAGGCTTTATTTAACCAGGACAAAGATTCTGATGACAGAAGCACCGGAAAAGTTGACTGTTTCAAAGTTTTGGCCTTTGGAACATCTTTGAGAACAGCTCATATTTATATAAATAAAAATGAAATAACAAGTTCTAAAATGAAGTATAACATTTCATGATTACAATCAGCCACCTCGTGCTTACAATATTTCCCTTGACAGACAAAAGCAGGGGAGGAAATAAACTGCATCATTTGTTTTAGTAAGTGTTTTACTGCACTTACAACACAATAAGGTCATATAAGAGCCGAAGATTAGAGGTTTTGGAAGAGAGCAACAAACACAAAAAAGAAGGAAGGGACATAAAGACGATAGATGTTTGATAGGAAAGAAGAAGCAAACCACACCAGAGCACCCACCAACCACCCACAAACTGCGTCAACTCAGAGAGAGTCAATCAAAACAGGCAACACATACAATGATGTTCTGGAAATGATATGCACATTTCAGAGTCTGCAAAACAAACAATTAAAAAAAACCTCCCGAAAACTCTCAGCAAAACAAAATAAGTAGAAATCCCGACAAAAACATCATGTAAACAATTGTGAACCTGTCAGAAGGGGAGATGACAACACCATCTACTCTGACGTCCTTGTCTGCGATGTAAACTGACACTGTCACTGGCACAGCTTCTAAACTTGGCACATTGTCTTTGAGATACCTAGATAGAGAGTTGATAGACATTATAATTACAGGAGAGGATCATCATCATCATTATCATCATCGTTTTCAGAGAATAAAAAAAGTTGAGACTTGGTAGGATTTCCAAAATATTTTATGATACGTTCAACGTTTCCCCCTCTACGGGCTTCATCACGAACATGACTAGACTAGCTATTGAAACCAAAAGGTGTACACCCATGTCACAGTGCTCAATGGTGCGAGAAACACAAATCAGAAAGGTCAAAGAAAGGGGAACGCTACGGCTAAATCATCATCCAAACAATTTTGATTTTTTCTATTTTTTTCTTATTTCTTGAAGCATGACAATTTCTACTATGTTGGCACATTTTTCTACGTAACACAAATATTTGCCACTAACTAAGCACATGTGACAAAGAAAAGTTACAGATGAGGCACACTACTTTGTACACGATACCAACAATAATAGTCTCTATCCTGTTCTATTTCATTCTTCATTTAAAAAAAACAAACAACCCCAGCCATCTGTTGAGAGTTGATAGTTGATATGAACGTGTAAAAGATGATAACTGCATCTGAAATAAATGTATAATCACCAGTCTTTGATGCTGGATGCAGCTTTCAGCCCCGCATGACTATACTGCTACTTATGATAATCATGTAGCTACAACTTTTTCTCCTATGTACAGTGCAAACATAAAAATAGATGCACATTCTGGTAGAATAGTGAGACGGCTATTCGAAACTGTATTGGTTTACCCCCCCCCCCCCCCCCCTTGCAATACTGTAAAGTTATTTAAGAGGTAGGACTTCCAAAATTAACGACCACCTCCAACAAGACAGTGTTAAAAAAACCAACCTTTCCCAAGGATATGACATTGGGACCAAGCTAAGCCTTGAACCCCTGAACCTGCATTCTATTGACTGCAACTGCGGTAGGCTAACCAGTAACTGCTAGACTACTGATGCCATGACAGCTACTAAACTCATTAAGAAATATGATATGACCCAACTCATCTTGCCGAGGACTAACATATATATACAACCCTATAACTTAACATCTTTACCTAAAAATTTTATAGGAGCAACTTACTTGTCAAACGATTCTGCAGCTAATCTTTCACTGTCTTGTAGATTCTGAGTCAATTCTTCTTTAATCGCTTCTACTGAAGCATCTAGCAAAGAAAAGATTAATGATAGCTGTTTTTAGCATGGTAGGCAAGGCGTGAAACACTTATGTTTTAAAAATATTAAAAGCCACGGGCCAAGGCAATGACGTGCCCTCTTAAATAAAGGAAAATTGTTGACAGAGCTCAAAGTGCTTGAACGAGCGTTATCACTTCTCTTTGAAACATCAATATGAAATATCAAACGACTCCTCCTCAGTATGTTTATTCTGACATCATTTGTTATTCTTTCAGAGCTTCATGACTTCACGAGACAAAACCAACATCCCAGCCACCCCACTCACTATATATGTGTCACGACGCGGTGGAATCAGGCGCTCGTCAATTCTTGGGCATGTGGATTTATTGGTATCATGGCTGGTTATTGATGATTCCGATTCTACAGTAACAAGGAACTGCAGATGAACTTATTCAAGGTGGCCATCCATTTTGGAGGAGAAAAGTGATTAAAGCTTGTTCAGCTGTCTTACTATCAGTGTAAAAAATGCCCATCATCTTGAAAAGAAGTTAAGATGTTTCAGATTGAAGAAGGTGGGGTCGCCTGCTTTCAAAGGTAGAATTAGTGAGAAAATGTCCGCCAAAGTTTTGTTATTCCATAGCTTGATAGTTCGTGGAAACTGAAAACTTACATTTTTTGTGCCTTTAATCAACATTTTTAAAGTAAATCCACCCAGAAATGTGTTCTTAATTGGACAACAGTGGTGTTCAGCCAAAAAACAAAATTTAGATAAAAATTGCCAAACCGGCGGAAAAATACAGTTTTCTTCGATTTCATTATTTTGATGTGCACCTGATTTCACCATGGTGCCTCACACATATATATATCATCCACCAGCTGTTCAGCCGTTCTAAGCTTAGAATTAAACAAAACATTTTTTAATGCAGTTCCTCTGTGGTATTGGTTGCATGTGCTCAAGAAATATTTTTGTTGAAATTCAAATTCTATAAGTTGGAAAAAGAAAAGTGAGAAAACATTCATAATATAGGTACAATTTTAAATGAAATAAAACTGTCATTTCCCTCTCCGAAAAAAACAAAAACATGCTTTCTCAGCTCAGACAAATTGAACAGCTTGCCTAGACAGTGGCATATGAGAGGCACCCTATCAGCAGAGGAGCTCCATCCCATGTTGGGTATGGTGAAGAGAACATACAATTGAACAACTCAAAGACATCTCTGAATGCACCTCATTTTTCAATAAGGATCAAATTGTGAATAATTAACCAGTTGCAAATGACATCAGACAAACCTGCTCTAAGTGCTACCTGTCTAAGATAATCATCAGTACAAATTAACACTTGCCACTTCCCCCTTTGCATTTTTTCTACATTATAAGGACACTGTCCAAGACAATCACTTTTCTCCTCCAAAATGGATAGCCACCTTGAATAAGTTCAACTGCAGTTCCTTGTTACTGTAGAATCAGAATCATCAATAACCAGCCATTTTCTCCTTTCACCTCCTTTTCTGCTCTCTAATCATGTTCTGTTGTCTGCTTTCGTCTCTACTTTCTGTCTCCCTCCACCACCACTCCTTTGCCCCCTCCTCTGGGTTCCTGACTCTGTATGCTGCCTTTCTACTGCTACTCCTTGACTCCTTCTTACTGTTGCCTTTCAGCTACACCCCTGATCTTACAGCAGGTAAGATCTACCACCTAGCCTTCTTGGTTAAGAGTGAAGACATCTCAGAGGTTCTGTGTGCATGATGCGCATGCAAAAGATCCCTTGGTGGTCCTAAAATCGATAAGAGTAGGCTTCGGCTGTCACCTGGGCAAAAATCAAAACTAAGCACTACCAAACAGAAAATGCTTAACCCCTTCATGACACAGGGTCATTTCTTGCTTCACTGAGCACAGTTTTGGATCCTAAGCGACACAGGGTTATGCTTGATTTAGTGGTCAGTTTCCTTAAATTAGACCCAGTTTTCAAATACTACTAGATCTAACTATTATTAGGTAAAAGGGAAAGGTTTCTGTGTATGGAATTTTACGAAATGGACCTAATAGAAGCAGTATACAGAATACAACTAATGAAGAACGGCATACGTCATCATGGTCCTTGTGCTGCACAAGGCATGACGAACATCGTGCGTCACAGCAGCATCTTGGCTCGTTTGCCGTGTGAGAAAAAATGATGTAAGGCGTATGTCATATAGGTCATGAAGGGGTTAAGTGTCCCGTTCGTTCAAATAACCTTATGCAGCTGCGAGTACCGTAAAACACTTTCCTAAAAAAAAAAAAAGAAAGAAAGGAAATTAGCCTACCTCTTGGCAGTGAGCTTTCCAAAGACGTTCCACTAGTGATGCCGTTTTCCAGCAATCTGATTTTTCTCCGGTATTCTCCATGAAGATTCTGTAAACATAATAAAAATTGAAAATATTTTTGTCTACATCTTTCTGTAGGGAAGCCATACCCCTTTCAACCTAAAGTGTTCCTGACAGAGAAGGTAAAAAACAGAAATGTCACAGGGTTGTCTGTAACAGAAACTTAAAATGTGCGAAGTTGCATATAGAAGCATAAAGACGTATAATAAACACAACTAATTTATGGAGTAAAACAGAAAAAAAAAGCAGGGAATAACAGCCATGATGGGGACATAAAATGTGTGTGTGTGTGTGTGTGTGTGTGTGTGTGCGTGTGTGAGTGTGTGTGTGTGTGTGTGTGTGTGTGTGTGTGTGTGTGTGTGTGTGTGTGTGTGTGTGCGTGCGTGTGTGTGTGTGCGAGTGCGTGTGTGTGTATGTGTGTGAGTGCGCGCGTGTATGTGTGCGTGTGCATGGTATCCAATACAACCTGAGCATACTAAGCAGTAAACAGAGATACCGAAAAAATAAGTTCTTTTGGTTCTATAAACGCATTACTATGGATGATGGATGATGTAATGGATGCTATTTCTTAGTCATTTTCACACTGGATGCTCACACACTTAATGCATCTATCTCTGAACAGGATAGTATGTTTGTTTGAGTAGGTGTTTTACGGCATTATCGACTCAGTTTTGGTCATTACCAGAATAGAAAACTACACCCACTGGGACTTACCAAGTTGAGACACACTTTTTTTAAAGTAGCTGTGTTTACCCCCTCCCCCCCCCCCAAAAAGGGCTGGGCTCATCAAAGACCTCTTATTTTCCAGGAAGAATGAAAACAACCAAAAACACACTATTCCCCCCCTTCCATCCAAAACAATGTAGATAATTAAGGATGTGAGCTTCTGACCCTGCCTATTAGGGCCAACCTGGGCTGAGAGGGATGCAATATCCTAACAGAAATACAAAGATACATGATAAAAATGTACTCCCCGCTCAGGTATCACACTCAGGTCTGTTATGTGTGACAGTGAAGTGCAAAACCACTACACCACAGATGCCTGTAACAGACCTCAATAAAACCTACTGCTGATGGGGTACCCAACCCAAATGCTGACTCGTCATTGTTCTCATGGCACAGAATATGAAGGGGATCTCTGCCGTCGTAAGGGAAAACGACGAATGGTCAAAATTTTTCGATTTTGTTATTCTTATATATTTCATAGGAATATTTAATTCTACATCTTTTGGTGTAACAATTTTTGTCATATCCTAATCCGTTGTTGCGTAATTGAGAGTTCGTCGTTTTCCCGTACACTGGCGAGCTCGTAGCCAGGGCTCAGTGTAAGGGAGAATGACGAATGTTCGATCGGTCAAGGATATTGTTGCGTCAGTACAAACATACCAAGTTTTTTGCAAACAAATACACTACCACCCCCTCCCCCGGAGTAGAATCGACCAGGGTTATAAGAATGTATCACTTAGTGTGTCTTTCTGTCTGTCTTCACGTATTAGGCCTACGTTGATGGTGTGAATTGACAAGAGAAGGTGGGAGAGAGGGGAAAACGGATGGGAACAGGGGGAAAGGGGTGGGGATGGGAGGGTCAAAAAAGTATTTAGGGAGAAATTTATTAGCACTGCATATTAGTGTCTGCCAGATGTTCACAGACTAACGTCATGTTAGTTTGCTGTCCAGTCATTTGACATCCCAAATCCCAACGATGGTTATAGCGCTGCAATTTGTCTAGCACGTGTCACTGGTCGACATCATTATAGAATTACCAAGCAATTAATGACACTGCGTTATGAGAGTAAATTTCTTTGTCGAACTTAAAAAGTGGATGTATTGTGGCGACACTTAGTCTTGCTTTACAATTTTTTATGACTTGATGGACGTTACGATCGAGTATAATAATGTCTTGTAGATTCGAACTGTCCTTGTCGATCTCTACTTTGTGGTATGTTTTCCGATCCGATCAACTGATTCCTTTATTAAATACAAAGCGTCGCATTACCTGTCCTGAAAGCTTTTGTGAAACAGTCTTGTTAGATTGTTACACTTTGCAATGATCTGATCGTATTATTGACATTGTAACATTGTTGGTCCCTTTGGTCGTGCAGGGAAAATTTTGCAATTAGCGAAAATAAAAGTAAAACTTGCTTCTGAAGAGAATGCAATAGAGAGATGTCATGGAGACCAAACTTTGGTTCTGAATGGGACAGTTTTAAATCAAGCTGTTGAAAATGTGTGCACATCTGATTTGTACACTGACTGTGTAGTATTTAACCAAGCGAGTAAGGGAAACGAAGGACGTTTACCGAGTTACAGTTGGGATATAACAAACACCTCACTTTATACGTAAAATAGCTAGTTTGTATACATCTTATTTTTATTTGTAGTAACCAGTACAGTCATCACTGTCAATAATGCGTCACAACTGACCATCGCCTACGTCCATAAACGTTCACGAGTGTAAAGGAGAACGACGAACCGTACCATTTGTCGTTTTTGCTTACATCGCAAGGCTCACCTGCGGGTGCACAATGTAAGGGAGAACGACGAATGTTGAATAACTTTGCTACTTTTTAACCTAAACCATTCAAACTTTAGAAACTGCTTTATGAACGCCTCAATCAGATATCTGGTGAATTACAGCTTAAAAGAGTGAAAAATAGAAGAGTTATAAAGTGAAAACTGTTTTTGCCTCTCCTGAAAAATTTGCCTCGCTACCTGCGCAGGACCATTCGTCGTTTTCCCTTACGACGGCAGATCTGTCCTCATAGTGTGGCCCTCCAAACAAACAAAATAAAAAAACAAACCCACCCCCCCATATACCTCCCCTCCTCTTAAAAAAAACCCAAAACAAAAAAAACCAAAAAAAACAACAACCAGCAAACAAACCCCAACAACAATAAAAATTTAAAAAATGAAAAGAATAAAACCAACAGCCACCTTTCCTACTGTCCGTGCCAAAGTTGAGAATAATCTTAAACAAATAGAATTTTGTATCTTGAAATACAGTAGCCACTGTTTGAGCCCCCTCCCCCCCACTGTCAAGGAGAAAAGTGGTTGTCTTAGACAGAAGAACATCTTGGACGTGGTCACTAATATAGAAAATAGAGCAAAATATAAAAAAAAGGGGGGGGGGGAGAGGAGAGAGAAGTGGTCATTGATACAGGTGACTGTCTTCCAGACAGGTGACAACAGTGCATGTCTCAACTGCAGCATAGACTTCTAAAAAAGAGACATACACAAGCAAACAAAGATTGTGGTTACCAAAAGGGCCCATACTGACCTCAAAGTACCTTTGGTGGGACAGCATGCTTTCCTTCATATGTTCTGAAAAAAAACAAATTGAAAATTGACAAGCCAGAGAACAAGAGCACTGCCAGAAGAACAGAAAAAAAATACCTTAAAGTAACCATTTTGTCCTAACAAAATCTGGATAAAAATTCATATTCTACAAGGCACTATTATTTCAAGCAGTGATATCTTATCAAAGTAGTGCTTTCGGTGAATGGCACCCACAACAACGCTGTACTGTGGTGCTGATTGCAAAAAAAAAATCCTCAACTTGCAACTCATCCTAACTCCCATAAACTCTATAACCCCAAGAGGATGATGGGAGTCTCCAAATAAAACTCGCCCCGTCCCAGAGTAGACATTCCAAATAATTCTGAGTGTTAAAGAATTAGAATTTAACAGCAACCAACAAGAATCAACCTCATTTGCTTGATCTTTCAAATATTGAAATATTACACTCAGTCTGCTTGCTTATTATCTTTTCACTAGTTTTAATCCTACAAGAGAGCATCATTGGATTAAACAAGTGCTGTTTTGTAAGGTCGAAATTGTTTAAGGCAGCCACCCTTTGTCAAAGAGAAAAGTGGTTATCATAAACAGGTGGATCTCTTAGACAGTGCCATTGTCACATTTTAAAAAACACAAGTGTGGAAGTGGTCATTTTTACGAGTGATTGTCTTAGACAGGTGACTGTTTGAGCAGGTTCGACTGTACTTACTTTTCAGAATATCTTCAAAGGCGCTTGACTTGCGACCAAATGTAGGCTGGTCAGCTGGACCTATGCATGCATGATAGAAAACGTTGGGAGATTGTTGTTGAAACTACATTCAGTATTTTGGGGTTTTTTTCACCATATTTTTAGGCAAGTAAGCACATCACTTTGGGAAGAGTAAAGGTGATACTTTGTTAAGTTGTTAAGTTTAGTACGAGTTTTTTGGTGCTTGCAACTGCATAAGGTCATATGAGCGTGCGAAACACAAGTTGGTTGCATTCACAGCATGGCTTGATTTTGGTCAATATTTCAATTAAAATGTTAAAAATTCGTGGTACAAAAGACTCTGATTTAAAATAACATTTTAAATAACATTAAACTAATATTATCTACAATTTTTTGTAATGGCCAATGGCCTTTTATTAAATCGAGAATTCTGTTGGGATCAACTATGGAGAACAGATCTTGCAATTTTTTGCATTTGAAATACTTCTTTCGGGTCTCTCCAAAGTTTGGACATTCTGTTAAATGTGTCTAATGGTGAAATCAGTGTCGCATCCAATACAGAATGGTTTCTCATCTCCCTGCAGGAGGTACTTATGTGTCAGGGACGTGTGTCCGATACATAATCGAGTAAAAATGACTTCGTCTCTTCTGGAGAGACCCGAAGGCTTTTGAGGACCCAGTTTGCATTTGACATTGTGAAGTTTATTGTTAGTTAATTCCAATGTGTCTCCCACAGACTGGAGGCAGGTGCTACTATGTGCAGCAAGCTGTAGCGTTTGTGATCACCACAAGTTGCTTGTTATCATTTTGATTATTTTTCTCTCTTCGTCCTTGGATGTTCAAGATGGATGAACTATTATTATCATCTTTTTCATCTTGGCAAAATGTTTAAGGTACTGACTTAAGAGATGAAGCTTGACATTCTTTATTGACTTTCTCTAAGCATGTCACAGCAATGAAAACATAATGATAACTGTCACACACAAATTCAGCAGAGACTACAATTTTTCAGGGACATCAGAACATGGACACAGACATCGTTAACAAAATTGACTTAACCTTCAGACTATAAACACATTGTGGGCTGAGGGTAGTATTAGTGACCACATCCATTCTGGCTCAAAGGTCAAAAATAGCATAATGGAAGCATTCAGAGGATATAGAATTATGTCTGTAAATATCAAATCAATCTGTCTTGTTGTTTTGCCACAATTGCAATTCCCAATGTTCTTTCCCTAAAAATCCAATGACCTCAAAACAGAGAATGTGGACATAATCACCCCTATCCCTCAGCCGCCAAAATGGAGATATGACATAATGTACCTAACTAGTACAATTTTACTGAAGTTTTCAAAAATACAAATCCAAGTAAAGGGCTATTAATACCGGAGCTTTTTTAAAGTGACATTTAAAAATAAAAATTTGTTATTATTTCTTGTTGTTGAGAAATAGGTCTAAAAATAATGACCGATATCAAATACAGCAGCAGTAAGCCTGACCAATACAAATATAAAATCAAAATCAGTAGGACTACTTAATATTCATCCGATGGATTATGGAAAATAAGCCTAACATTTTCATTTGCAGGAAGGCTGAACAGTCACAGACTTCTGATGTCTTTAAAGAAGAATCAATGAGCTGGAAGGTGTAATTTTTAACCTGATTGAAAAAGTAAAATCTTAAAGGAAAGGAGCCCTCATTCTAGTAGGGACAAAAATAAGTGTTTTGTTTAGTTTCTATTTTAGTAAGAAATTCAACGTACTCTGAAACAAAAATCAGCAGTGTTAAGCAGAAGTATCATTGGGGTGACTATATCAACTCTTATTTCAAAATATTCATATTTTGAGGGTAGGTCCTACGTCTGTTCTTTCCCTCTGTTGTTTCTGTCTATGTGGGTGGTTGGAGGACGCCTCTGATAGATCCTACTTCACTGCTTCTGTTCTTTCCTTCTGTTGTTTCTATCTTATCCGTCTTGCTTCTTCCCTTCACTATATGACTGTTATTGTTTCGATGTGCTTACAGGAAATTGGAATAACTTACCATTTCCAAAGATTTTGGTGTAGTACTCTTCCTCTGCTTTGTCTCGCTCAGATAACACAACATCTGGTGAAATTAATTTGTAATCATCTGTATATCATTTGGAGGGATGCACAAATCAACACCCATTTGCTTTTAACATCTCAAATTTGAGTATGCAGATTTTCAGTGGGATATATTGAAGGTGTTGAAAGCAAACAGGACTAGTTAGAGACAGACAAAATTGGGGGGGGGGGGGAGGTGGGGGGTTATCCAATAACAGGTAATTTTGCCCTAAAAGAGAGCCCCTTAAAAAAAATTGCTAAAAGAGGCCATTAATATTAGGAATTGAGAGACCTAACTACAGTATATTACAATGTTGTAAAAGTGTAATACCCTTAAATTATAATTAACAATCTTTTGGGATTCCTGTTAACTTTTCTCCATGCAGCTTTCAGTCAGTACAGAACAGTACAGTGGACACTCACATTTTCTTAAAACTGGTATTGGAAAGCAATGACTCAGTTCTTGAGTAATTTATAACAATATACAGCAATTAAAACCTATAATTTTATAAATTCTTAAGCTTAAGATCATAAAAGTTTGCACTACGTCATGTTGTAACTAATAGTGAATGCTACCTTTGTTTAAATTTTGAGGTCTGAAGAGAGTGTGGTTTCTTCTAAAAAGTAATAAAAAGATCAAAGGTCCAGAATTATTATAAATATGTGTCACGACGTGGTGGAATCAGGCTCTCGTCAATTTTTGGGCATGTAGAGTTATTGGTGCAATCTTAAGCTTGTTCATTTGTCTTGCATTGGATGAAAAAATATCCATTTATCCTTAATAGAAGTCGAGATATTTGCGAATAAAGGAGCGGAGGTGGGGGTCACCTGGTTTCAGAGGTAAAATTAGCGAAAAAATGGCTGCCAAAGTTTGGCGACTTCCGAAGGTTGAGTGTCCTTTAAAACTGGAAATTTACATTTTTCTTGCCTTTAATGAACGTTTTTCGGTATCATCCACACAGAAATACGTTTATAAAAGGACATAATAGGTGTTCAGCCAAATAAAAAAAAGAAAAGAAAATTTGAAAAAAAAATGACAAACGCCCCCCAAAAGGCTGGTTTCTTTGATTTCACAGTTTTGACTAGCGCCTGATTTCACCACGCTGCCTCACATATATTTCGATAACTGGAACAAGGAAAGAAGCAAAAAGTTATTTTTCAGTTTCGAGTGTGTGAAATAAGACTTTTTCTAAGTTGGCTACTAAATAAACTATGAATGTAGGTTATAAGCCCATCACCTACACAAAGTTATTGGCCTCTGTGCTTGTTTGTTTCAGTAGGTGTTTTGTAGCACTATAGATTAAGTTTTGGTCATGTAAGTGCCACAAACATTTCTCAGTTGCAAATCTATTTATGTATTAAAAGGACAGACAGATATTTATAAAAATCTTTGTACATAAGGTAAAAAGGCTTGCTTCCACTCACATGTATTTACAAATATCAATTGTAGGTGGCCATTGACAAAGTGATATCCCAAAAAAATTAACAACAGACAAGACGTACTGCTTTAGAGAGATAGTGTAACAAGTACCATATTGAATTGTAAAGCCAAATAGGCCTATGTGAGGCAGCATGGTGAAATCAGGCGCTCCTTAAAATAATGAAAGTGAAGAAAGTGGCATTTTCCCTCTGGTTTGGCAATTCTTACTACTGAATTTTTGTTTTTTTGACTCAACACTTTTCATGTCCAGTAAAGAACATATTTCGGTGTGGATTTTACTGAAAAACATTGATTAAAGGCACAAAAGTTGTAAATTTTCAGTTTCCGCATACTCTCTCGCTTAGATAAAGATTCTAGATAACTAAACTTTGGCAGCCATCTCGCTAATATTACCTCTGAAACCAGATGACCCCCATCTCCTTCAATCACAAATATCTCGACTTATATCGAAGACAAATGGATAATTTTTTCATCGAAAGCAAGACAAAATGAACATGCTTTAATAAGATGACACCTTTTACTCAATAACTCCACATGCACGAAAATTTGACGAGCGTCTGATTCCAGCACGTCGAGACACATATATGGTCGCTTTTAAGCACAAAGGGGGCTATCCCGAAAAATGCTGTTTTGAGAAAATCGAAGGTAAAGTTTTTGGACCTTTGTTCAGTTTCTTAAAAGACAAGGAGAGTTTTTCTCTATAACTAAACAAATACACACCAATGAAACCAAACTTCTCATACATAGCGCAGAGCAATGCCCACTTTTGGTGTATGTCGAGATTTCTGGAAACCCCCGAAATCTGGGTTAGCCCGCTAGCTGGTCCTTAAAAGCAACCATGTTCTTCAAAGTACTGTAGCCTTCACGTGTAGGCCTATTCCTTTGTAGTTAAACTGGTACTGTCAACAGTGTCCATAATTGTACAGTTACTTTATAACGGCCACGGTGGCAATGAGAACTTACCGACAAGTCCATCAAACTGAACATCGAAATAGAACTGCCCTGAATTAAGAGAGCTGTTACAACAAGGGCATGTATGATTCCGACTGACCCACTCGGTGATGCATCGCGTGCAGTAGCGATGGCCGCAAGGTGTCAGCACGGCACCTCTAATGGCACTCAAGCAGATGGAGCACTGGATATGTTCCTCAATGGTGGAGTACTGAAAACAAAAAAGGAGTTGACTGCAATAAAAACACTAGCTGCTAACAAGTTAATAGCTCATATGCATGCCAACCTGAGCGATTATCACTCTAGAGTGGAAGATTTGGTAATTTTGGAGGGGTGGGAATCACCTTCTATGGGCAGTGACAGCGAGTATTACTTGACACCTTGCTTGGAAATACAGCGTACGTGGAACTTAAACTTGAACTGAACACAGTTCTAATCTGAAAACAGGTAAACTGAGAGAAATTGAATTCCCCCTGCCCCCCATATTTGAGCAATTTCTTTAAACCAAAATATTACCAAAACCAAAGAAAATCCTGCACTCCCGCCGATTTCAGTCTTTATAAAACGGACTCCCCTACAGATAGGGTGGGCAGTAAAAAATGAGGTTTCTGAAGAAGAAAAGAATTCAATGTTTGAGCAAGGTGACAGATTATAGATCTAGATCTAGATCTAGATTTCTAGATACATGATAGATTAGATCTAATCTAGATCTAGATCTAGATGATCTAAGCCGTTAGTCTAAGCACAGCGAAAATAAACGGTAAGATTCAGCAGTGATCAGAAAGTTAGGGATGAGATGGTAAAGCACCAGGGGGGGGGGGGGGGGCAAACAAAAAAAAGGAGAGATGTGCTCTAGCAAGGGGCCTAGCTAGAATCTAAAACTAGATCTAGATAGATCTAGATCTAGATCTAGAATAGATTCTAGAAAGACGAAATTTTAACGATCACAAACTCACGGGTATATGAAGTTTACACCCCTCGATGTCAATATCCGTAGATCTAGATCTACTTGTTGACATTATCATGTTGCTAGCCGTGTTTCGGTACCGTGGTACGGTGGAAGGGTACGAAGCTATTAGGCCTAGGCCTGATGAATTCAGCAGTTTATCGTTATAACAAACGACACAAGTCGAGTGAATCAGACAATAATTCATCCAACACACTAGCCTGTAGGCTAGGCCCAGTCTGGTGTTGAAGTGACTTATTAGGGCCTATACTCATACTCCCTGTCGTCAGGCTTCCCTGATCATTCGCGTAATTTCACCAACTGATGATCATTTGTAGCGCAGATCCGATGGACCGCAGGCGCAGTTCACAACACAATATTTTGACACCAAAAACGATAAACACTAGATCTAACTCTACTTTGCTAAAACACCAGTATCACAGCTAGATCTAGATCTAGATCTAGATCTAGAAGTCTTTAACGTCTGTATCTATTTGGCAGCTTTTGGCTGAGAATTGAGAAAGCTGCTAATTTTAGGTTAGAAGGCTAGTTTTCTTTTCTCAATTTAGTAACATGAAAACCCGTCCAGCTCAGTCCCCATTGGCCAATCGGGCCCCTGAAAGAGGGTGCTTTTCAACGACCTATAGATCTAATAGTGTTGATCGAAAGAGCACTCGTCCATTGGTTAGAGAAATAAAAATAAATTGTGTTTTGGAGGAAATGAAAAGCCCCCCCCCCCCCCCCCCAATCAACCATTACTGATTGTTATCGTCAGTTTTGCTATAGGATGATTATATACTATATATTATAACAGCTCTTTTAAGAACGAAGTGGGCATAGAAAATAGAAATATTGATAGAGAACCAACACGACACACACACATATTAGCTCCACACATAATAACATATATACAGCTCTTTTAATAGAAAACGAAGTGGGCATAGAAAATAGAAATTAATATTAATAGAGTCTACACACATACATATTATATAATATATATATATATATATATATATATATATATATATATATATTTGTGTGTGTGTGTGTGTGTTTGTGTGTGTGTGTGTGTTTGTTTGTGTGTGTGTGTGTGTGTGTGTGTGTGTGTGTGTGTGTGTGTGTGTGTGTGTGTGTTTGTGCATAGCACTCATTTCATTGACAGGGACAATTTTAAGGCACTGGAGAAATAATATTATAACATATAAAAGTGATATGTGCGAACTAAGGGCTAAGGGAACGTGAAAAGAGAAACATCTCGAAATGGATAAAAATAAATGGGCTTGACTTGGAGCCGGGACGTCGCTTAATTTGTCCAAACCGGAGGAGGGAATATATTATACTGACTGATGTGCTCTGAGCAAAGTACAAAAGTTGTCCTGTTTGGACCTTTTCTGAGAGGATTCTCATTTACATTTTCATAAATATGATATGAGCACAGCTAAATAAACGACATAGTATGGGTACAACAGTCTTGCCCATCAGAATCAACGACTTTTCTCCACAGCCTTTTCAGGCTTAACTCCAAAGTTGGCACTGAACTTGTGCGGCGTTTGATCATTGGCCGAGACTAGCCTAGGCTAGATCTATCATAAATCTTTGGTTGTTATTGTTTCCGCTTGCCTGTCTACTTTCGTTTTTAAAGTTCAAAGGTCAATTGATAACTGTTACCAGAGACACTAAAATATAATTAAATACTCTCTGCTGTTACTGTGGTGTTCACTGTCATTGTTCAATGTTCACTGTTCACTTTTTCACGACCCCAACATTTCGCAGGCCGATTATCACTGCAAGATTTGATGATTAGGCCTAGGCCTATGTGATGATAAAGTACTGTGAAGGACTTTGGCTCAGCTTGTAAGCCTTGTACTGAAGTGAAGTACTGGCAACTGAACAGGCCTAGTCTAGATCTAGATCTAGATTATAGATCTAGATTTAATCTAGATCTAGGTCTAGATCTAGAATCTAGATTCTAGGTCTACTTTTATAAATCTAATAAAAGGGAATGCCGAATGGTCTCGTTTTTGTCCTACGCCGACCGGATTTGTCAATTTTTCGGGACTCTCGGCGAACGGCGCGGAGTATTTTAATTTTGGGGCTTAGTCAGTGCAGCTTTCTAACCTCTAGTGTTGGCTGTTGACAGTGTTTATTTCAAAGTTTAGTATCCAGTTTCATGAAAAGTCTACTTTTTACCTCTCGGTTGTTCCACCGAGCTTGGATACCATCTCACTTTAGCCACGTAAGTTGTGAGTGTCTTAACTCATCGAGGACGAATTAAATTCTGATTCGAACGTTTGAAGAAGCTTACGTCGTTGCCCATAGGTATACCATAAAAAAAACATGTTTGCGATCTATGAAATGTACAATCTTGTGCTTTTGGTCTGTGTTAACTGTGTATGTAGGTTCAAAATGAGCCGCAACATCGCCCTTCGAGGTCTGTTCACATTTCTCGTCTGACAAGTGTGTCCGATGATACATCCCCACTTGGCTCTCTTAGTCTTAGTCTTAGTTAGTGGACTAAGTTTGCACCATTCAAGTAGGCAACTCTACCTGGCCTATCCTATAGCCTAGTTCTACACATTTTTAATTTCATGGTGTCCCTGCCCTTTTGCCAGTGTATAAGTACTAGATCTAAATCTAGATCTAGATCTAGATCTAATTTGGTTGCATGATAATTTCCCTCTACCTGGATTGGAAGACATGGTGATGTTGAGTCGTCTCCTCGTCCACCAGACTGTCCAGACCTTTACACCTCTTCATAATTTTTTCTGAAGTATGCTTGTAATTGCTGAGAAAGTAGAAAGTAGCCTACTCAATGAAAAGCATTTTGAAACACACTTGATGGAACTGCACATGAAGAATGATTTATGATCCGAAAGACTAAAATTGATAGCATTGTCGAGTAAATTTCGTTGGGTTGAGTTTCACATGGCAAGAATCTGGTGGGTTTTTTTCGGTAGTTCCCACCTCCCTTATATTTTGAGCCTGACCTACATCGAGATCTATACGTTTGATGCGAGCTAAGATATCAAACCTAACAACTGCAAAACATCGAATTATGATAAAATTCAGGGGGGCATGCCCCCCTGAAACCCCGCACCACATTTTTATTAGGACAGGGGGGCAAGCCCCCCTGAAACCTCCCACTCTTGAGGCCAAAACCGGTGAATAACAATTGTGGGGTGGGAACTACCGAAAAAGCGCCAAGAATCTTGCTTGCAAAGTACATTGTTACCTTTTTACCCACTGCTATTGGCTGTGCATTAAAGTCATGTGAATGCTATCTCGGTATTCTAGTTCTAGGCTTTTACTTTCCCTCCACGGTCGAACACAGCCAGTAGCTAGAGGTACAGTCCATTTACTATAGTATTATGTGGTAAACACGATTCATATCAACTTAATTTCCGTCCAAATCGATTAGTTTTTGATATGTTAATATTGTTGATGGTTTTTAATCACACCAAGGGATCTTTAACGTGCGCAACTTGCACACGGGCCCTCCGAGATTTTTCGCCCTTGTCCGAGAAGGCCAGGCGTAGATCTTTCCTACCAGAAGATGAGGGGTGTGGCTGAAAGACAGCTCTAAGAAGGAGCCAATGAGTAGCAGTAGAAAGGTTGCAGAAAGAGTCAGGAGCCAAGAGGAGGGGGCAAAGGAGGTGAAGGGTGGGGGCAGAAAGAGGGGACGAAAGCAGACGACAGAACATTGCTAGAGAGCAGGAAAGGAGGTGAAAGGAGACAATTTTAGAGAAGAAAATGTTTTGGTCACTACCCGGATTCGAACCTGGGACCTTTGAATGAGAAGCGAACACCTTAACTTCGAGGCCATGAGAGCCCCTACTCTAAGGTTGATTGGGTACAATAATTTGCACATTTTGGACCAGTTTGGGGGTTCATGGGGGGACCTCTTATCGCAACCTACTTTTGCCAATGCGTACATCCGCAGAATTCTTTGATGTGACACTGCAACTTGAAGCAATCCACTCATGACACTTCAATTGCCCTAGCAATGTTCACAGTAGTAATGATTACTGCAATCAGGAATAGGAAAAGCTGCTCAATATGTGTCACGGCACGGTGGAATCAGGCGCTTGTCAATTTTTGAGCATATAAATGGAGTTATATTGTATCATTGGAAAGTTGATTTATTTGCCTTGCTTCCAATGAAATAAATATCCATTTATCTTCGATACAACTCAAGAGATTTATGATTGAAGGAAGTGAGGTCGCCTGGTTTCAGTGGTGAAATTAGCGAGAAAATGGCTGCCAAAGTTGGGTAATTCCAATAGCTAAGTAAGTTAAAAGTTTATTCAGTGTTTACGGCCATTGGCTCACATCACATCACATAAAACACTTGAATTTACTTATCCAATAGCAAAAGAGTTTTTGAAAACTAGAAAATGACGTATTTTGTGCCTTTAATCAATGTTCTTCAGTAAAGTTCATACGGAAATGTGTTTTCATATGGACACAAAAGAGGTTAAAAAAGCTAAAAAACAAAAATTCGATAAAAATATCCCAACTGGTGGGAAAATGCCTGATTCTCTGATTTTGTTATTTTGACGAGCGCCTGTTTTCACCACACTGCGTCACATATTGCTTGAATTGCAGCAGACTGGTTGATCAGGTGAAACTTGAAGACAGACCGCCAAGAGTGTAATAGACCAACTAAACCAGCACTTTTTATTTATTCTTGAAAATAGTAATTACAAGAAAAGTAGATTTTGCAAATCGTTTACCATTTTTTACAGAGTAGGCCTTCAGAAGAAACTTATTCTTAAACTAAATTACAAGAAAAATATATTGTCTTTGACATTGTCATCTTACCATCAGGCATGCCGATCTTTTAGTCTCCACTGTAAATCTATAATATAAGGTCTTTCATCTGTTGTTCAGTCAGCACTGAATCTATTTTCTTCCCATGTGAGAGTCAAAGATTATCCACTTTCTGTAGCCTCTATGCTTCAGCCCAAGTAAGTAAGGCATGATATCAGCTCACTGAGCATTAGTCTTATTTATCCCAAAGCACTGTGCTGACCAGACAACAACACTGCATGCTTGTGAAGAAAAGAGAGGTGGGCTTTGTGCAGAGCTGTGAGATTTAAAAGGAGAGACTATTGAAATGGTTAATAAAACCTTTTCCCTTGTGGCAATGTGTCTCAGGGCACTCAAAACTATGTTCTTTTTTTTAACCCACCTGCTTTCAGAAGGTCCTGAATTGGTAAAAACTTTGCTCTAGAATTGTATAGTTCCCAGAACTTCAGTAAATTTGTAAGAACCTTAGAATACCAGTCATTTCGTCACACGGTCATTTCGTCACAGTCACACCTGTGCAGTCAACACTTCACCGCCATCTCGTCAGTCCTCAAACCCACAAGGATTTCGTCACACACTTGCAAACATCAAACGCGCATTGTCATTTCGGGGATGTGTGGAAGAACGGGGGAGGGGTTGCGAGTTGTTGTGCCTACCTTATCACAACAACGTTCATAACTGGGTGGGTTTTGTTGGGTTGTTTTTAATGAAAGATTTTCCCACTGTTGTTTCTGCCTGCCTAAGTTTCTAACTTGGTGAGTTTTTTTTTTTAATTATTGTTTTTATTGGTGGGAGAGGTGGGGTGGCCGTGAGCGGGCTACCCGGGAAGCGCACAGGCACATTATATAGGGCCGACCTACTTCGACCGGGAAGCATGCAGGCCCTATATATAAAAAAGGCATAGGCCCTGACCCTTTTCAATGAAAAATTTCAGCATTTCTTAGGTCTATATATTTTGGAAAATGGGAACTGCTGCTTTTTCTTTCCTTATCCTTACTATCGTCATTTTCCCTCTACTTCCTTTATATGTTTGTCACTCTCTTGTGAACTGCTATTAGCGGGGTACCTTGACAGTCGAAGCAGACTTTGTGCTTTTGAGACTAAGAGAGGTGAGCAGAGTAAGCCTGATTCCCCGTTTAGACTTCTCTGTTGACATCCATCTCTTGGCGCTCATATGACCTTATGCAGTTGAGAGCGCCGTAAAACTTATTACTAAAACAAACAAGCATTTGGGGCGTCTTACCTTCCGGGGAAATGCAGTGCTTCTAGGCCTAGTATAACAATTTTCGAAAGGTAAGGGAAGTCATTTCGTCACACATAATTTAGGTGTGACGAGATGACCGTGTGTCGAAAGGACTCATGGTTACCGAACCTTGTAAGGGCTGCTGACTGACATTTGAAAACTTTTTTTTTCTGGTTAGTGAAGAGTTTAGTTTAGTTACCCTATCCGTACGTCGTGTTTTACTATCGTATCCATACGACGTGGGGTACTCTGTGCCCCCTCTTTCCAAAGAGGAAATGTACTGGTTAATCCGATCCGTATGCTGTCAGGTAACAAAAAACCCTAAGTATTCGAACCCGTGGCTGGAATCGAAATGCTTTACGATCCAAGATGGCGGCAACTAGATTCGTAGATATCTATGCGGCGAGGGTTCACCCTAATGTCTCTCCAGCCTTCATATTTCACAGAAAGTTGGGTCTAAAATTAGCTGGCTCTCTCAGTTCTAGAACTTTGCTTTCTTAGATTTAGAACTTTTGAGGCAGGGCAGAACTTTCTCAATGTTGGTAATCGAGTCCATTTTTGTGTGAATCGTAAACCTAATTTTGAATACATCTCTAGTATTCGAACGTCGTTTCTTCTTCTCATGGCTGGATTCTCTCTCACTCTCTCTCGCTCACAAAATTTTACGCCAGCTGGGTTCGAACCTGGGCTATCCACATGATGGATGGATTCCCAGACGAGTGCCACACGGCTGATAAACATGATTTATATAGATTCATCCTTTCCACCAGAAGATCAAGGTTTGATAAAAGTATCGAGATTTATTCAACTGCTGAGTGATGTAGTGTTTGTCAGACTTGCCAACAACAATCAGTCTCAATACATGTATAAAATAATATAGGATGATTAGGCCTTCAGATGTCTCCAGCTCAACTGCAAGAGCGCAAACAATACGCAACCGAATCCCAGATGTTGGGAAATTTGGATGTAGCGATTACTATAACTCCATGCAAACGATGTGCTGGGGTCGTTTGTTACCCCGCTTAGTATGGATAAGAATAACTGAGTTTTTTTCCTCTTTGGAGAGTGGGGACACAAATGACCCCACCGGGCGCCAAACAGGTTGTTTTGAAATGTGACCACTGGTCAAAAGGATTCATTACCAATTGCAATTTGCTTTGCATAGAGCAGTCTGTCAAAATGATTTTTTGAGGGATACTGAAAGTTTCAAAGAGATTTTCGCTTCTAGAAGTATTCTAAAATGTGAAAAATACAATCCCTGGGGTACAAAATGACCCCAGGTGTACAGATTGGGTTAAGTAGGCCAAGGGGTTAATTTTATGGGAAGCGAGCTGAAAGTGATTTGTTTATTTTTGTGTATTAAAAATATTGGAATCAGGGGTGCAGCGTCTACGTAATCAAATAATCACTGCTTCCCTTCTGTAGTTTGGGAACATCGTCACCGTCGATTATACCCATAGATGAAGGTCTTAAATAAATTTAAATAATTTGATATTTAAAAGAATAACATTTTTGTAAGTGTTTTAAGGCGCTCGCAACTGCATAAGGTCACATGAGTGCGGGACACGTAAAAGCATTTTCAGTTTGGTAGGAATTAATTTTTAGTTTTGCTTGGGTTGCGGCCAACGCATACTCTTATCGATTTTAGGACTATCAAGGGATCTTTGACGTGCACAATTTGCGCATTAATGAGACTTCTGAGATTTTTTCGCCCTTATCTCTGAGATTTTTTCGCCCTTATCTAAGAAATGTAGGTTAAATCTTACCTACCCTAAAATCAGGGATGTGGCTGAAAGACAGCAGTAAGAATGAGCCAAGGAGTAACAGTAGAAAGGCTACAGAAAGAGTCAGGAGCCTAGAGGAAGGGGCAAAGGAAGTGAGGGGGTGGGGGCAGAAAGTGGAGATGAAAGCAGACGACAGAACATTGTTAGAGAGTAGGAATTTTTTAAATGGATTTGAAAGGAGAAAATTTTAGAGAAGAAAATGGGGGCTCTTGTGGCCTAGAGGTTAAGGTGTCGGCCTCTCATTCAAAGGTCCCGGGTTCGAATCTGGGTAGCGACTGAAAAATTTTCATCTCTAAAATTGTCTCCTTTCACCTACTTTCCTGCTCTCTAGCAATGTTCTGTTGTCTGCTTTCATTTCCACTTTCTACCCCCACCCCCTCACCTCCTTTGCCCCCTCCTCTGGGCTCCTGACTCTTTCTGCAGCCTTTCTACTGCTACTCCTTGGCTCCTCCTTACTGCTGTCTTTCTGCCACACCCCTGATCTTCTGGTAGGAAAAATCTACACCTAGCCTTCTCAGATAAGGGCGAAAAATCTCAGAGGGCCCGTGTGCAAGTTGCGCACGTTAAAGATCCCTTGGTGGTCTAAAATCGATAAGAGTAGGCTTCGACCGGCACCGGGCAAAATTAAAAATTTCCTACCAACTGAAAATATTAGGTGTGTCCCGCGCGCTCATATGACCTTATGCAGTTGCGAGCGCCGTAAAACACTTTACAAAAACAAAAAACAAGAGAAGAAAATTTCCGTCGCTCTCTGGATTCGAACTCGGGACCTATTGAATGAGAGACAAACATCTTGACCTCTTGACCACGAGAGCCCCTTAAAGTTTTAATTAAGTAATTTGTGGGTACAAGTGTTCAGAGATACTTTAGTTATTTTTTCAGTTTGTTAGGCTTGACATTGAAACAATATTATACAGTCAAACCTGCCTTAACAGAAACCTGTCCGGAATCTCCTAGCTCCCTCCTTGATATATATATATTCCTCTTTAATTACCTGTATAAAATGGAAACCTGTCCCACGTGGAAACAGAAAGAAAAATCTGCTTCCTTCCAAGGGTTTTACCTGTCTAAGACGGAAAATGCTTTGCCCGCTCAGCCCTGATTTGAAACAAAACTCGCAAGTTTGGTTCCGCCAGCTCTAAACTTAACACCATGCTGCTGGACAAGAAAGGGGAGCAGTGGTGCAATTTACGATGTGAGCCCTGAGCGATGCAGATGGTCTGAGTGGTGTGAGTATGAAATCTCACGAGTGCCAGTAAAAGTGCTCAAGTAACGAGCCACCAAGGAAGCTTTACTGGGAAGCCAGAAGCCAGAGATATGAAATTAGTTTGACCAATGCCTGCCGCCCTGATCGTACGGCCAGTCAAGAAAAGAGTTCCTCTGTTCGTTGTTACATGACAGTGAGGCGTGGCATTAGTTGACTGTGCTTGTTACACCGATGGGTGGGGCTAAGGGTGGAAGCAAATGAGATGTTCAAACATTTTTGTTTTTAAAAGGTCCAACAGTGGTCCTATGAAATGATGAAATGCAAACACTAGTGGTAATTGGATAAGTAAGACTGACACATGTCATTATCAGAGAGGATAGCAGTTTCTTGAGGTGTGAAGTTTTGACAACTGCTTGCCGACCAGACAAGTGACCCTTGATCTCTCCAGCTGGGCCTTTGATTCCCCCCCCCCCCCCTTTCCATCTCCCCCCCTAAATTCCCCTGAGACAGAAAATGTCTAGGACGGAATTTTTTTTCTGGCTCCCTTGCGATTCTGTTTTGCACAGCTTTAACTGTAATTAGAATAGTGAGCAGCAGCAAATTATGTTATCTTCACTTTTGACACGAGGATGTGTAGCAGTATAATCAATGTACACATCACATTGTAAATGGATTCCTCAAATTCCTCTGTTTTTTTAATTCTAGCATTCTTGCCATTATTTTTTTAAAGAAATTGCATCTGATGAGTACCATGAAAGTAAATCAATTTTCCATTTCTTTTTTCCTTATTTTATCAGGTAGCAGCTATGGAAAAGCTAAAGTTACAAGTTTCTGCTACTAATGCACTGATAGATGACAAAGTGAGGATTGTGGTATCTGGACTCAAAGAAGAGCAAGAGATTACTCTTCAGACTTTCACAAAGGACGATGCTTACACTTATGGTGCTTTGGGTCATTACAGAGCTGATTCACGTGGCTTGGTGGACACTTTTGTAAGTCACTGCCATGGAGGAACTTTCACAGGTATAATTGGCCATTTCCATCACCACATTTCAGTAATCATTGCCAGGCCACTTGACTGTCTATGGCTATAATGTGTTCTATTGTAAGGCCTATACAGGGTAATTTTATACTATCACTCCTACATCCTTTTGCATTACTTTTTTAAAAATCAGAGGGGGGAGGGGGATGCCCGGGGGGAGGGGGATGCCCTGACCACCTCCCCCAATAAACGACAACCACTGGAACATTTTTGATAAGGCCATTGATAGTCCCAAGGGAAAATGTTTAGTATTGTGGGTCACAGTAGTCTAGTTTACAGTTGAGAGGATTAGTTGTCAGACTGGTCCAGTGGTAGATGGCCAAGTAGAATAGAAACATTGTGGTAGACCATCAAGTGGACTGGCACCCAGTCATAATAATAATACAGTGGAGTGCACTTATAACGAGTCCGGAAAAAACGAGAAGTCTGTTATAAAGGCACTATTCTAAAACCCCGGTTTTTTCTCCTCTTTACCTTTGTAAATAAAATACTGCTATAGCGCTATCAGACACACTGCGAGTCGGTTAAAGCGGAATATTGCTGCTGCTGTGCACATGGCTTAGGCCAATTATAACATAATGCAAGACCTCGCCAGTTGAGAAACTTGTTGCTGATCTTGCAAAACAAAGAATAGGAGAGCCCATGTGCGTCAACAATGAAGGCTGGAGCAACTGAGTAGGGAGGGCGTGGCATGCGGAGACAAGCAGAACGCACCTTGTGATAGGCCAGTTTAGATTATCAAGGCCTGCCATGCCTCTCACTTCTCTGATGCGGGGATGGAGAGGTCACAGCAATGTGATGGATGGAGCGAATGTGTGACGTGCACAAGCAGACAGAATGCACCACAGGGTGGGATGGGGTGGGGGGGAAACACAGCGGGCGAGTTAGCCCAGAGCCCTTTCTTTCTGATCGCCAAGCTGTCAGTCCACATCGCTAGATCTAGCGCTAGAGAAACAAACCTGATTCGATTTTTGATCAAGTAAGACCTTGAGGTCATATTGAAACCAAATCATCATCAGGGGAGATAGCAAAAGGAAAAACAGAACACTAAACTCATAGATTAGGCTTACTTTACAGTTTCCCTTGAATTTATTACTGGATCCCTTATAGCGAGAATCCTGCTATAACGACATTTTGCTTCGGTCCCTTCCCTCTCGTTATAACAGGATTCCACTGTAGATAGCATTTAATTTGTAGAGCACAAGTCCCCGCTCAACAGCAAGCTCTATGCGCTTCACAATCTACACTATTACCCCAACAGACCTGAGAGCATTCTGAAACAAACTCAACTTCCTGAGAAGCATACAGTGCAAGCAGCCATTTATAGGCGCTAAAACACTAACATACTAACAAGATCTTTCGCTGTCTATGGCTGGGTACCTATTCCCACCTTGGTGAAGTGAGGAAAATTCGTGTAAAGTGCGTTTCCCAAGGACACAATGTCGGGTCCGTTGCTCGAACCCCCGAACCCACTACCACCTCACGATTGCGAGTCCTGTAGCCTAACCATTAAGTCTAAGCCACCGATGCCACATCTGTGTTTCAAGATTATCATATCATTTTTCAACATAATTATATTCAATCAATTTTTTTCCCCAGTCAAGTTGTAAACAACTGCAGTTGACTCCGCTTGTGTTGAATTGGCTTGAGTTGATCTTCGGTCAATTTGATCTTTTTCTCGGGTTCTAGCACCTCTTCTTCTACGATTCCAATGGTAAAGTTGAACTTTAGATGAGCTGATCAATTTTTATACTCCCTGACGACATCAACTCATTCGTAGACGATTGTAGTTTGACCTCTGCTCAGCGAAATCAAACAAAGCCAGGTTCTTTACAAAGGTTTGACTGCATTTTCTTTTAAAGAAAAATAATCTTAATCCACGTTGAAAGTGATCAGTGATTTTTCTCTTCATCTAAGAAAAAAGTTAACAAATCCAGGTTAGTTTAAGAGATTTTATCTTTTGAATGGAGACAAATATTTTTTTGTGTGTTTGGTTGTTGTTGTTTTTTGGTCAGTGTTTTATGGCGCTGGCATCTCTGCATATATATGAGCACGCAGGACACATTAAACCTTTTCAGTTTGGTAAGAAATTAAAAAATTTTTCGTGGGTGGCGGCCGAAGCCTACTGCTATCAATTTTGGACCACTAAAGGATCTGTAACGTGTGCAACTTACACTCGGGACTTCTGAAATTTTTTGCCCTTATCTGAGAAGGGTAGTTGTTAGATCTTACCTGCCATAAGACCAGGGGAGTGGCTGAAAGACAGCAGTAAGAAGGACTCCTTCAAGGAGTAGCTGTAGAAAGGCTGCAGAAAGAGTCAGGAGCCCAGAGGAGGGGACAAAGGAGGTGAGGGGGTGGGGGCAGAAAGTGGAGACGAAAGCAGACGACAGAACATTGTTAGAGAGTAGGAAAGGAGACAATTTTAGAGAATAAAATTTTCTGCTGCTATCCGGATTTGAACCCAGGACCTATTGAATGAAAGGCGAACACAGTAACATCTCGACCCCGAGAGCCCCCTCAATAATGGTTTGTCTTTTAATAATTTAGTATGAGAGATCAATATGGTTTGTTAACTGCGCCTAACAGGTGTGCTGTTTCTTCGCAGGTGTTGAGCCTATGGGGCTGTTTTGGAGCATGAAGACCCTGAACTCTGATAGTCCAGGGAGAATGCTGAGACAGGCTAAATTAGACAGCCCCTACTGTGTGTCAGTTGCACTTAACCATGGTTTTCAAAAGTTTCAAGATATTCAGTGGTCTACTGAACTAAGTGGAATAGACACTTGCCAAATTCACAGACATTATGTTGCCCAGAATGTGAGACGAATTCCTATCGAAGAAAATGGTATCTTTGGAACTCTGTTTTTGCCCCCTGGTGAGTGATTTTTATGTTTTACAGCTGACCCAACAGCTGGACATAACGCCAAAGATAATTCATAGGACACATCGCTATCTCAGTGCTTTCTTGTCGCATCTCTATTTTTAATAACAGTGAAAACAGTTCATAACAAAGAGTGAGCTTAAGAAGAAGTCACATTTTCTCTTTTAAAAAAAATGGAGATACGACAAGAAAGCACTGAGGTCGCGATGTGATGGATGGATCTAATTAATTCTCATTACCTCATTATTTTGGAATTCCCAGTTCGAGTTTAAGGTAAATTTTTACTTTCACTCCCGCACACAGATGCACTGTTTCAGGGGTCAAACTGCTGTACTGTTTGCTGCAGATCACACATAAAGCCACTAAAACTGTCGCAAATCAATTATTTTCAAGACAATTTCAAATCTAACTGTAAAGTATCAAATTATAGGTGTAAAAACCCCCAGATTTTCTTTTACCCCAGTGGGGCAGGCCCCCCTGGAACCCCCCGATTGGTCCAAAGCATGTCTATCTCGGTTAAAAACAATAAAATATTTCAAAAACCATTAATTTGGGACGGAAATGAAGATGATATTCGTGTTCAGCGCATCAATATTTAGTAGAAAGTAGACAACTGGTAGCTGAGTGTGAGACGGGAGGGAAAGTAAAAAAATACCGAGTTTAATATTTACCAAAGATTTGCTCAGTGAAATGAAGGTTTGACCACATGTTCTTTGAAGAGAGAGAGAGAGAGAGAGAGAGAGAGAGAGAGAGAGAGAGAGAGAGATCAGCAGACAGAGAGAGAGACCTGCAGACAGACAGAGAGAGAGACCTGCAGACAGAGAGAGAGAGAGACATGCGGACAGAGAGAGAGACACAGACAGACACAGATCAGCAGAGAGAGAGAGAGAGAGAGAGAGAGAGATGCAGACAGACAGAGAGAGACATGCAGACAGAGAGAGAGACATGCAGACAGAGAGAGAGAGACACAGACAGACACAGATCAGCAGAGAGAGAGAGAGAGAGAGAGACCTGCAGACAGAGAGAGAGAGAGACATGCGGACAGAGAGAGAGACACAGACACAGATCAGCAGAGAGAGAGAGAGAGAGAAAGAGAGAGAGAGAGAGATGCAGACAGACAGAGAGAGACATGCAGACAGAGAGAGAGACATGCAGACAGAGAGAGAGACACAGACAGACACAGATCAGCAGAGAGAGAGAGAGAGAGAGAGAGACCTGCAGACAGAGAGAGAGAGAGACATGCGGACAGAGAGAGAGACACAGACAGACACAGATCAGCAGAGAGAGAGAGAGAGAGAGAGAGAATGTTCTTTGTACTATTGTAAAGTGGATTGTGCCCTGTCCTAGTAGAATTGTTCTATTAACAGTAGATATGATATTGATCACCATCATCTTCATCATTATTTTTATTATTATTATTATTATTATTAGACCTATTATTATTATTATTGTTATATTTTTAAAAAATCATTATTATTATTTTTATTATAGTTATTAAAATGAAAGAAGATGTTTTGATTAAATCTTAACAGGTGATGGTCCTTTCCCTACTGTGGTGGATACTTTTGGTATTGGGCTTTTCATGGAAAATCGCTCTGCTTTATTAGCTTCCCGTGGTTTTGCAAGTTTCGCTTTGGCCCATTCAAATTATAAAGGCCTTCCAAAAGATGAAAAAAGTGTGGACTTTAACTATTTCCTTGTAAGTATCGTTCAATGTCCAAATCACAATGGCAACAGGGGAAGGAGAGGGGGTGAGCATTAGCATTAAAAGGTAATTTCCTTTGGGGATGAACTAGTTTGGTTTTGGCTTTGAATGAGTACAGTCCATGCCGGCTTTAAGCACGGTCACTGGGAGACAGCTTAAGTGTGCTTAATGCCGAAGCGTGCTTGAGTGCGAAGTAGACATAATCCAGAGATTTTCATGTAGAAAATTTCCCGTGCTATTTTCCTTTGTTTGTAAGTAGGCCTATAGTGGCCCCGCAAAAGTGTGCACTGTTATTTTTACCCGCCAGGGTAGTTTTTGTTTGCTTGTTTGTTTTTGTTTTGTGGTTGAATGGGAAATGAAAACTTAATTTAGACAGCCAGTCACGATACAGCACACTAGGCCTACACACTGCCTGTGCGTACCACTGCCCACTGTGCCAAGCTCATACAACTACCACCGCCTTCATCCCACCTCGCGCGTGATACACAATCAGGATTAATGGATAGCGAGGGTCAAAGGTGAAATCGCAGCCTGCCTCCCTTTCTCATCTCCCTGACTCTCTTTGTATTTTTTAGTCTGTGTAGCTTTGCCCTAGGCTAGATCCAATGTCCATGCGCGCCGCTGCGTGCATCTCTCTGCCTTGCTCTCCGCGCGTGTGAATGTGTGTCTCCATCACTTGCGTTCTCTGTGTTTCTCTTAACACACTCCACTGCTGCGGTGTAGACTGTGTTCAAACTTCGATGGGTCATTATAAAAGTACTGACTGTCTTGTAATGAAGCATGTCTGAAGCTGAAGTTACCGTGCTTAAAAGTGTGTAGTTTATTTAGCAAAAATCCGGTAAGAGCCGTTTAGCGTGTTTGAGTCCGAAACGTGCTTTAAGCCGGTGTGATTAAAGCCGGCACGGACTGTACTGAGAATGGTGAGGTGGTGAGGAAGGTGGATTGCTTCATGTGTTATTTTCTTATGATTATAACATGGTGAGGGCAGATAACTGTCAGTGTCAACAGAATTTGTAATAACAGCCTTTGTAATGCATTTGTAGTCCGTGAAACAGTGTAAGGCAAAGGTTTACTTTATCAATAGCATGGTTTCAGAGGTAAAATTATTGAGAAAATGACCGCCAAAGTTTGATAACTTCTATAGCTTGAGAGTCCCCGAAAACTGAAAATTTATGTATTTTGTGTCATTAATCAACGTTTTCCAGTAAAATTCATTTGGAAATGTGTTTTGATATATGGACATAAAAGGTGTTGAACCAAAAAATAACAATGTTATAAGAATTGCCAAACTGGATGAAAAATGCCTGTTTCTTTAATTTAATTATTTTGACGAGCACCTGATTTCACTGCAGCGATGCCTCAAATAGTTCCTTTCGAGTGCCTCGTGCTTTGGGCAGGCTTGCAGTATGTGCTATACTATTTATGTCTATTACTTAACAATTCTTTTTCTTATGGCATTGACAGAAAGCCTTTGACTGGTTGCTGACTCAGCCGTTTGTAAATCCTGATGCTGTTGGCTGTGTGGCCAACTGTTCCGGTGCTGGGTACTTTAGTCTCCTCGCCTCCAGGCGTCCGCAGGTTAGTGTGTTTTGAGTTTGTAAGTTACAATCTTCTCCCTCCCCCCCCCACCCCCTTTCCCTTTTTGACTCCATTTGGTTACGTAGCTAAAATGTCTGCATTGAAAAAATCTGTAATGTCTTTAAATAAACTATAAACCTTTAATGTAGGTGCTTTTATGCCCCCATCAACACAATTTAGATGATTTTGTCTGTCACAACCTGGGATGAAAAGGATTCAATACAACATCTCGGCAGAAAGACTGAGATACTTTACTGAGGAATTTAATTGGGATCTCCAGTCTGTGATGGTAAAGAATGTGACTGTCACACGACTGATGCCCATTAATTTAAGAATGATAATATCTGATATTGACCGAATTGGATGGCGAGCTATAACGTCTTCTAAAATAGGAGAGAAAAGTGTATCTGACTTACAGTTTCATCTTTTCCTATCTTGTAGATCGTTTGTGGAATGACGCTGGCACTGCTTTATGCAGTTACTATGATATGTGAAAGAGAAGTCTCTAAAAAATTGTATGGTATGGTGTGGGTTTGACACTCCTTTCGACACTGTAAATTATCGATCCAGTGTAAGTTTATTTCAGAGACTGGACGTGACTGGTTGGCAGGTGCTCTGGTGGGGTTTGCTCCTTCTTTCCTATCAAACATCTGTCGTCCTTCTCTCTTCTTCTTTTCTGTGTTTGTAACTCTCTTGTAACACCTCTAATTTTTGGCACTTATATAACCTTATTGTGTTGCAAGTGCCGTAAAATTTTTACTAAAACTAAACCTAAGAGACTGGATTTTTCCTTCTTTCCTATCAAACATATATATATATCATCCTGATCTCTCCTCCTTCTTTTTGTGTATGTTACTCTCTTTTAACACCTCTAATCTTAGTTACTTACATGACCTTATTGTGTTGCAAGTGCCGTAAAACTCTTTCTAAAGAGGCGGTACCTCCATATTTGATACCCTTCTCAATATGCCCAAACCAGTCGATTTTGAGCCGTGACTACTGTCCGAACAATCCAAGTTGAAGAGTGGTCCTGTGGCGACTCAAATTTGGGTCATCTGCATCTTAATCCAGCCTGACAACTAAATTAACGATCCGCCTTCAAAAATTGCAACAGGAATGACCCTATAAATCTTGGTTTTCAGGAGCTTCCCTGCCTCCCACCCCCACCCCTTCTCAAAATTCGGGACCTGAGAATCTGTTCGCTATGTGTTTTTCACTCTGTGCATATTTCACTTTATGCATATTTCACTATGTGCGTATTTTACCATGTGCATGTTTCAATATAGACCTACTTGTATCTGTGTGTTTCACTATGTGCATGTTACACTATGTGCGTGTTTGTTCGTGTTTCTCCATGTGGGTGTTTCTCCATGTGGGTGTTTCACCATGTGCGTGTTTTACCATGTGCGTGTTTTACCATGTGCGTGTTTTACATTGTGCGTGTTTCACTATGTGCGTGTTTCACTATATATGCCTGTTTTACATTGTGCGTGTTTCTTCATGTGCGTGTTTCACTATGTGCGTGTTTTACATTGTGCGTGTTTCACCATGTGCGTGTTTCACCATGTGCGTGTTTGTATGTGTTTCTCTATTTGTGTGTTTGTACGTGTTTCTACCTGTGTGTGTTTGTACGTGTTTCTCTGTTTGTGTGTTTGTACGTGTTTCACCATGTGTGTGTTTGTACGTATTTCTCTATTTGCGTGTTTGTACGTGTTTCTCTATTTGTGTGTTTGTACGTGTTTCACCATGTGTGTGTTTGTACGTGTTTCTCTATTTGCGTGTTTGTACGTGTTTCACCATGTGTGTGTTTGTACATGTTTCTCTATTTGCGTGTTTGTTTGTACGTATTTCTCTATTTGCGTGTTTGTACGTGTTTCTCTGTTTGTGTGTTTGTACGTGTTTCTCCCTGTGTGTGTTTGTACGTGTTTCTCCTTGTGTGTGTTTGTACGTGTTTCTCCCTGTGTGTGTTTGTACGTGTTTCTCCCTGTGTGTGTTTGTACGTGTTTCTCTGTTTGTGTGTTTGTACATGTTTTTTGTACGTGTTTCTCCCTGTGTGTGTTTGTACGTGTTTCTCCCTGTGTGTGTTTGTACGTGTTTCTCCCTGTGTGTGTTTGTACGTGTTTCACCATGTGTGTGTTTGTACTTGTTTCTCCATGTACGTGTTTCACTATGTAGGCCTACGTGTTCACTTTGTTATGCTAGACTCTTTATATGTCCTTTAGTAAAACTTGCCCATTTTACGTTGTTTCCGTGGGTGGTTGGTGGGTGCTCGAGTGTGGTTTGCTCCTTCTTTCTTATCAGACATCTATCGTCCTGATCTCTCCTCCTTCTTTTTTGTTTTTGTTACTCTCTTGTAACACCTCTAATCTTCGGCACTTATATGACCTTATTGAGTTGCAAGTGGCGTAAAACTTACTAAATCCCCCCCCCCCACAACCCCCCCAAAAAATGTTGTTTCCAGGTAAAGTGCATGGTACTGATCAACAGTGTATGGTTTCCAATTGGCCACGACCAGGAGGTGGAGGGAGAGATGGTCAACTCCATCCTGTTCCTCATCCATCGCTTCCGCCTGGTAAAGCCGAGCTTCCTGTCCTTCAGGGAAATGTTTCATCCTTCAGACAATGTGACACTTTCAGAGGTAATTCATGGGTGGTTGGCAGGTGCTCTTGTGTGTTTTGCTTCTTCTTTCCTATGAAACATCTATCGTCCTTATCTCCCCTTCTTCTTTTTTATGTTTGTTACTCTCTTGTAACACCTCTTATCTTCTGGCGCTCATATGACCTTATGCAGTTGCGAACGCCGTAAAACCTTTACTAAAGCTAAACAGAGGTAATTCTTGACTATAAAGCTTTTGTTGTTTACATGAGGTCATACTTCGCCCTTTTATCGTTTACACAAGGGCATGTGAGACAGAAATAGATGCAACAGCATCTGTGATATAACGCTTTGGCGCTTCAGCCTCCCCCCACGCTGGAGATCGAAGTTTGATTCCCAAGTAGGGAGAATTTTTGCCGAGTGTCTCGGTCTTTCTGCAGTGTAAAAGCACAAATACTGTTTTTATACAGTAGAACACAGCTATAACGGGACTTTTGGTTCTGGAAGAAAAATCCAGCTGTAGGCAAGTTCCCGCTATAGGAATGCAAAAGGGGAATTACCGGAAAATTTTTTTTAATCCACATGATTCCCTCCCTCCCATCAATAAAGTTTGCGCTTTAGATTAGTCTTCCTTTTCTTGTCAACTTCGTTGACTATCTCGGCCTTTAATTAGAGTGAGAAGCATTTCCTTTTGTCTTTGTTGGAAGCCATCTTTTCCTTGGTCTTGTTGCTTGTACTGTATATCGTACCGGTAGGCCTACTACTGTAGAACTGGTATAGTGGATGAGTTATAATGCCTATGAGCATCAATGATCCCAATTCAATGAATCAGGAGTCACACATTACACGCTCTCCTCTACTTTTACTTTGTGACCTAGCCTAGGGCTATGGCCTATACGCTCTCATACTGAGTGTCTAAGCTATGGCACATCACTTTTGGAGTGGCTCACATAACGCGTCTTTCCGCACCATCGCTCTCTGCTGCCTGCCCCACCTCAGTCATCAATGGACTGGCCAATCACAACGCCGCACCACTGACTGCCTGTTTGAAGCCTGCCTACAAGCCCCCCCCCCTCCACCCAACAACTAGAGCTCGCTCGATCTCTCCCACTGTATCCGAGTTCGAGCCTTTTCTTACCCCGTTAAACCCGAGCACAGGTAATGAGTTTACATAGGAAATAAAAAGATTTTTCCGGTAAGGTCTTACTGTAGGAATGGTCCCGCCGTAGTGTGTGCAGCTGTAGTCATGTTCTACTGTATATGTGTTCGTTTTCGAACATGGGCAAAACCTGGCGCAAGAAGTAAGAGAGCTGGCTGTGTAACGGGTGTGGGGAGGGGGAGGGGTGGTATAACGAGATTTGACTGTAGCTGTTGGAAGAGACTTTTGTAACTTGGGGGGCACATGAATTGATGAACAAAACTGACTATTGCTTCTTCTGTTGTCATAGGAAATAGTGGTTCGTTGGTAAAATGTTTTGACAGATTTTAAAAAGGAGAAGATACTGAGATGAATGAGTTTATTCCGTTCACTAAGGTGTGCAGCAGCAGACGAAGGACAGTTTCTGAGTTTTCTCCGATACAGAATCTGAGACTGTTACTATGAAAGTCTTTTGACATTCTATGTTTAGCATTTTTCTTCGTAATTTATTCATGTCACTTTAGTCATACTCATTACAGAGCTGATATATATATAT